CATCAAGTTCACAATAGAACAAAAGTCGAACGACAAGCTTTCATTCTTGGATATATTAATCACCAGAACCGACACTGGTAAACTGGAGACTCAAGTGTACAGGAAGCCGACCCACACTGGTCAAATCCTCAACTACAAAAGCAACAATCCAAGAGCTCACAGAATCAACTGCATACAAACTTTGTTCAAGAGGGCGAGAACACACTGCAACACAATTACAGCACGGAAAAATGAAGAAAAATACTTGAAAACCATCCTTCAAAAAAACGGCTGCCCAATCAAACTCATCAAAAAAACCAGCTGCATTCATCAGCAGAAACGATGTCAAGTACAAAAATCAACAAAAGGATCACCTTACCATACATGAAAGGTATATCAGGAACGACAACGAGACTACTGAAAACCTTCGGAATAGATGTTGCTCACAAACCAACAAAATCCCTCCATTCAATCTTATGCGAACCAAAAGATGAAATGACAAAAGAAGACAAACCAAACATCATCTACATAATAAATTGTGCCAACTGTGACAAACACTACTTCGGACAAAGCGAACGCCCTCTTCATCTTCGCCTACATGAACATCAATAAGCAATCAAACGCCATGATGTCTTGACTTATATCAATGCACGTGGACAACTGCGGACAAACATTCGGCGGTAAAAATGTGAAAATTTTGGATAGAGGCGATTCCAAAAATACCAGAGAATTTTTAGAAGCTTGGCACTCACGTCAATCAGCAATAAACAAGCACATTGAAATCAATCCAATTTATCAACGTATCAGGAAACTTATGCAGAAACATATGAACAAAAATTAAACCAATGGGAGATTCGACCAAAACAAAGAAATAAACAATGACAGGTTTAAGGTTAACAAGAACCAATCAACATCGAGGTGTACGAGACAACCTGTGAGCCACATGTGGCGAAATTCGAACATTTCACTTCTACCCGACATTTGTGCTGATTATGTCGTTGAGATGGACAATGAAAGATTCACGATCAAACCATCCAGCTCAGAGAACAAAACTTCGTCAAAAACATACATTGTGAAAATCATGAAACTGCATCATGAGGCAAGCCGCAATTTGAAATCCTGGAGGAAAATGAGACTAGGAAAACAAGAGAACATATTAAGCAGAGATGGATAGTGGCTAGCAGTGGAATCCAGGACGCGCGTTTCGTCCTATTTGGGACTCGTCAGCTGGATGTACCTGCATCTCAGAGTTGATGTTCACTCTGGGACTCGAACCCAGTACCCTCGCTTCAAACGCCATCGCGTTATCCACTCGGCCACTATCCATCTCTGCTTACCATGCTTGTGAATTAAGGTATATCGAGGCAATACGCACAGTATGCACATATGCCAATTAGAGACTGACCAGTTGCAGTCCTAAACACATCGATGGGAAGATCCAAACAAACAATACTAAGTGAATTCAAAAGAACATATTGCTCAGGAAAGTTAAGGAAGACATTATAAAGATGAATGGCAATCAGAAACAGCTGAAAGGGAGAGTCCAGGACAGAGTTCTTTGGAGAAACCTGGTTGAGGGTTAACAAGTGTAATTGAAGAAGATAATGATCATAAACTGGGAGCATTCCAGTAGCTAACTTGTTCAGTTTCTGTGGGCTCCTGCTGATTCGTATACACCCAGTTGTACTAGGTTCTACGTTTTGACCAACTCGTATACAGCTTTAGACAACCGTTTATCATGAAGTTCAGTAATGCTCACTATAATCAAATTCAAGTATTGAATTTATTACTTTCATCCGTTTAGCTATTTGTCTATTTGCACAACATATTTTGAGACAATAGATTATAGCGTATATGATTTCTTGAGTTTGTATTTTTTAATCTTCGTGGTAACGGATTTGTGTAGCATAAATCTGGTTAGAGTTTGTTAGATGTACCGAACGTTAAGCTGTTTTTGCAGGTTGGAATGTAGACGCTTGATGCTAGTTATAGTCTTACATATTTCGGTATGAGGAGGTTGTTCGTAAGTCTCTAGGTTATGATTCACTAAGTAGTTTACCCGATCCACGGTCATAATAAACAGAACTGAGAGATTTTTTTACCAAGGCCATCGCCTATGGTTTAGGTTAGTTTTCACTCTATACATCACGTGTTCGTTCTAGGCATTATTCTGCATCAAACCATCTAGAAAATACAGGACGAACTCACTTAACAATACGTACTGCTTACCAAATGTTATCGATTGTGATCTGATCTGACCATAAAAAAAACCAATGCGTACGTAGCCGAAATTAAATAGACAGGCTCCCTGGTTTTAAATGACAATACAGTTATTAAAATTCATATTTCACCATGAACGTACAAAGTATGGGAAAATTGCGGAGTATTTATCGATGTAACGTGCGTTTCATCATCCTTAGACGAGTACACTATCATATGCTTGGGTCAGGGTTATAATCAAACCTTTGGGGTACCTTTTCCACAAATGAATGTCTATGAGTAGACTCGCACTCCGGTTTGCATAGTCAGTTATGTAAGTAGAGATTTGTTAAATAAATAGAAACACTCTCAAATGAAAAGTGAGATTTCACAGCTTTTTTAATGTATCCGTACAACATCGTCTATCGGTCTTAAATCTTGTAATACATATTCGTCAATATAAGCCACACTTTATAACTGTAATGAGCCTTCTACAAAAAGGACTGTCATTTATTACCAATGTTCACATGTTTTACCCTTAAAAGGGCTGTGTTCTCGAGAGTCGCAACGGTGGAGCGTGTAGTTCTCATGATTGATGGGTCGGAAAACATAAACAAGGAAAATGTCTGTGTGCGTCAATCTCAGCCATCGAATGCTGTCATTATCTTTGTAAAATTCAGTTAAAATTTCTGTAAACAAATAGCTTTTACACATGTGTAATTCTTCTAACTCATTTTGACTGTGTAAGAGAGTTAGTTTCTTTTTAGCGAACGTCAAAAATATCTGTGCAACAAGAGCTGATGCTGCAGTTAGTTAAAAGAAAGGTAAGTCCCTTACTGTAAATGCGAGTGCAAATTCCTAGACATGTACCCTTAAAGGAGCCACTTAAACTTCATTAGGACAGGCCACAAATGAGTCATTTTGGCTCGTTTTCACCCGAACTCACAGAAATTTTTCCCATGGAGTACGGCCTTACTTAATCCTACTTTGTCTCTAGTTCCTTTTCTTCACTTGCTCGAAGCACATTTAACATGGGATTTTCCTTGAGCCCTTCAAGCCTGTACCACTAGTGACATCTTAACTGTAGGTGCAGTCGCATATTAGTATTTTATAATTGAGTTGAAACTATTGTAAAGTGGTTGGACTATCTGTTGTTTGGTCTACTTATATCTATATAAGTAGTATATGGTGTTGGTCAGACATAGAATGTATTTTGGCAGAAGACCGATGAGGAAAGAACTGAAATGAAGCGCAATCGTTTGGAAAATGCATGAACAATGGAATTAGAGAAGAAACAGTGAAGATTGGAACAACTGGTTGTTAATTTGCAAATTGACTGTTCATTGTTTGGTTATCAGAATTTACCGAGATAGTCTGTAATGTTTGTTTAAATACATTCGATTGTCCCCAACTAGTGTTCTGTTCACTACACTATCGATGAAGCCTAGTCAGATTTCCCGTTGAGCTAAACGCATCCATACCTTGGAAAAAATAACTGGACGTTCGTTAGCTAATAAAGCCCCTTCAGGGTCCTATATGACCAACGCAAATGGATAAAAAAATCCGCGTGACTTGAGTCATGACATAATAATCATGTTACCTACTTACTTTTGCCTTATGTCAAATATACAAGTCTTCTGATGGCATTTTATCCACAACCTATGACCAAAAAAACGAGGTCATCTGGCTGACAGGTTGAGATGGGTAAACCTAGGCATCTTTCGCGTGGTGTGACTTTGAGCTATTATTGCGGGACTGAAGTGATCACTTCGTTTACGTTCAACTCCGACAGTTTAGCATCTACACATTATAGCTAATGCTAAAAAGACAGCAATCTCTTTCCAGATAACTAAAGGGAAAATATCACACAGTCATCCATCTATTATGATTTTTTTCTCAATCAATTATGAATGGCACACCATACTTACGAATTTTTGGGTGAATTTGCTGCTGGATTGTTTGTTTAAACATAAACATATCACAGAAAGAGTGGTTGTGAACCTTGTTTTGATCTCGAACTAAACAAATTCAGCCAAGCAGACCTGCTTGTATAATGCAAAACACAAATATCATTCAGTTACAGTTAAGAAACGAAGATCTATTGGGGATTTTTAGGCAAAATGTCTAATACTAAAATACACGACGCACCATGTTAACATAGCAACACACTGAATAATCTTGATATAACTCAAGTCAAGAGACTTAAAGACGTCTCAGATATTCAGGGTTTGATTAAGCTTTTGTTTACAACATTTGTATATTCGAAGGATGTCAACCCAGTGAAATCAGAAGTCATGAACGAAGGAAAACGAAGATATATTTGGAAAACCATCGATTTATTGAGTAGCGTCTGATCTAAGCTGTATAGTTGAGTGGAATGGAGTAACAAATCGTGAGTTAGTGCAGATCCGTGACCAAAAACGTGGGCTAGGTGTCCATTAAAACTAACGAGGCCAGCATCAATGTCGAGAACCTACTAAACTATTTATTTTGGGGATTTCTTTACAACCAAAAAGCTATTTAAAATCACTTGGATTACTGAAGCTGAGTAACTAGTTTATGCTCACTGGGTGTGTTCAAATATCTGTGGTTGATCTATAACACCAAAACACTACAGCAGACAGGTTACTAGGCTTTTCTCTGCTTGGTTAAAAAGATATTAGATATATCAGAAGAGTTAGAGGTCCTTGGTTTTGTAAAATGTAACGGAATTATATATACTCGGCATTCATGATTCGTTGCACTTGAATCAACCAACATATGCCATACACCCTCTTACGTTTATACATATTTATGAGTGCACTTTGTTTTACTAGGTTTGGTGAATATATGGTACTTTTTCGTATCGTAGTAACGGCCAAGCTGCGATGTCTTTCCGCGAGATCAGGTTATTTACTGAAATGATGCGTTCCTTGGGATATCCGCGCGTCATATCCTTGGAGAATTTTCGAACTCCGAATTTCCCTTTGGTTGCAGAGATCCTAAGATGGTTGGTTTGTCGGTATGACTCCTATGCTGAATTACCGTCACGCCTTGACTCGGAACAAGATCGCGTTTTGTTTATTAAAACAGCAATACACTTGATTTTCACTAAGGCATGCATAAAACTGAACAGCAAAAGACTCTACCAGGCAGATGGATTTGCTGTAAGGGAGCTAATAAAAATAACTAGGATGTTATATGAAGCAACGCAAAATAGCGATTCCGACTCTAAAGATGAACAAAATTGCCTCAATGTAACAGAAATCTTTGATTTCCGTAAGGTGAGTAGTTCTGATCTGTTGATATATATATATACTTACCGGCTAAGTAATAATATAGCATACAGGGGGCTTTAGTTATAAAAGTAAGGGTATATATGTTGAATTATTCATCGACAAGCTATTGTAATGTTTAAGATGAACTTCCAGGCTTGTGGAAGATTTGTCATTGAGAGGTGACCGTATTACAAATCCGATCTCAGAAACTAGATTTCCAGTTGCATGGATTAGAGTCTTCGTATTTTACACGAGACCATTTAAATATCATAAATTAAGTATCTCAGTTTTTAAAATCGATTTAAACTATAAGAAGATAATGGATGTTCAGCCGTTGTGACGTATACTTTGATGAAAATACTTTCGGAGTAACTAAATGCAAGGTTTGAGTACTTTCTTTACTAACACTGGGTATTGGTGTATATATATCTCTATTGACTTTTACGCACCGTTTACCTGAGTGTATATTTTCTCTTATTTTCATCATACCTAGACTTAAGTTGCTCAAATTATTGTGTTTCATCTTGTAATATATATCCTTTATTAGTACTAGAATGGAGCTGATAATTTTCTGTTGTCACTATGTTGACAAGGCGCTGAAATTATGGAATCTTTATCATTAGAAATACCTAAAGCCGTGCCTTTTATGGCTTTAATCGAAATTTATTTGCATAGGTGAATTGTGGCCAGCAGTGGAATACAGAAAGCGCGTCTCGTTCTATTTAGGACTATTCAAATAACTAATAAAAGATGAATTCATTTGAGGTTGTTTAAAGAATTCGCCTTTCACTTTTAGATTTTAGTCTGCAAAAAATCCTTAGGTGTATGTAAAAGTAAAATTTTCCCAATTAAATTTGCTACAGCTTTTTCAGTTATATAATCAAATTAATAGCACTAAAAGTGGTCAGGTTTAAGCTAGATGCATTTGTGTTTATCTATGAGACTTTTTGCGATAGATCTTTTGTGTAATCAAGCGGTTACCTCGCACGTGCATTCTCAAGCTTAGTGCTAGGATTTGGCTAGCATCAGTATGTTAGATTACTCACTCGTCTTCAGATTTCTATGAAACATGATGCTTGCCAATTAAAATAAATTGTCCTCTAACTTTTACCGATGGTGTTTCAATAAGAATGTAGATTTTGTAAGGTTACTACCCATCTTGTTTATTTTTTGTGTACATTGGGTAGATGACTTAATATATCGTGCTACCTTTTTTTCATCCGTATACAAACATTATGGTTACTTGTGACTTCATTCATACAGAGACTCAAGATAAGTGATACTGGTGAGAGAATTGGCATAATTGGATTGATTTACCAGCTCGTGCATTAAAACAAAACAGAAACAGACTAGAAGAAAAATATTTCATTATGCAATACCAAGCGTTTTCTATATCACTCAAATATAAATCAATATGCTTCGAAAGTCAATTCTGATTGCATCTATGAGTTAACATGTATCTGCAGTTGCAAGTATACAAGAAGAAAGAAAGGTTTCTACTAAGTTACCTGAACACAATCCTACGGACATGCGTCTGAAAGGGAGCACAGTCTTCACAAGTGCGATCCCTATGCATCTTTTGTATAATAGATGCGAAGTGAATATTGGTAACGGATTTAAATTGGAGCTAAAATTGATTATAAATACAGTGGTCTTGAGTACTGTTAGGGGTATGAGGGCGGTTATCATTTCCGGGTTGCTCATGCCCTGAAAAGGTCCTTCTAGGGTACCTGAAAGAAGAAATCAGGCTGGAGTTGATCTTAGTAACCTTAGAACGTGACCGCAGTGCCTAAGGAACAACTGCCTGAGGCCAGTCACACACGACCTGTTCGTGGGTGATTTTTGTGCTAGCTCCGTACTTGTTGGAACCTTACCGCAGGAGACGGGTATCTGTGGGATAAAGCGAAGTGTATTTTTGGGATCGATTTTTTCTAACCTCAATCTTTCTTGTAGGGAGGCAGCATAGCTGTTATGCTGGTTTTCTGAAAGAAACACCTTACTGCCGTCACACCTCTGTACAGTTAGCAGTACGATCTAAATCTCGAACCTTGAGTTTTCTGCTTTTAGTCTTACCGTTATTTAACCACCCTGGCCGGCATGGTAGGACCTTGAGGAATGATTGTTCCAGCCAGTATAACCCGATCGGTTCGTCGCGATAGGCAGGCCCGACCACCACGTCAAGGTAACAGTAACGGTCGATCATCTATCGTAACCAGTGATTGGAGACTCTGGGTGACATGGATCAGAATCGATCACAATGGCGTAGGTGTATACACTCTTTGACTTATCTTAAACCGTGAGATTAAAATTAATTCCTAACACCCTTTCAACGAACTATTTCTCTCTGTGTGCCATATCTTTGTATGAAATCCTTGTTTTCACTACCATTAAAGTAACTGATTCTACAAATTCGGTGTTCATCGTGTTGTGTTAATGAGGTATGGCAGCCTGGAACAATGCATATATGTACCCGGTCCTATATTGTAGCCGAATGACTGACTGAATGGATTTAAATTCACTAACATACAGAAAGCATCAGTCTTAATTAGTTTTTAAAAGGCAATCGTTATTAAACGTTCCTTATCTTGTAGTGTCGTGCTTCGTTAATAGTTCGCTTCGATAATCGTTATAATACTAATCTTAACGGTGTATAGAATCAGAAGGCAAAGAAAAACGGCAACTACATTTTATTGATAAATGATGCAAACCAGAAAGTTGTAAGCACATGAGCAAGTGTAAGCGAGCGAAACATACATGACACGTATTGGAGAGGGCTGGTAAGCCAACTCGAGAGCGAAGCGAAAATAATGCGTATCGGAGATGACGGGTAAGCCAACTCATTTTAAGCAAGCGTTAATCAACATTTATAGTCAAGACAAAAATGAATGGCAAACATATGACGAATAGGGTACGAAGTGTGCACACATATACGCTCATAAAGTAGTCAAGGTTAATAAGCGAATAATGAACAAGATCAAAATACGACTCATAATGTATAGGTGAATTAGGTTGACCAGAAGCTAGAATAAAGTATGTGGGCTTAACATATAAACTGATACCACAACCTAACCTATGCATACAGATGAAAATGTGGTTGTCCTTTTTCTGGGATGGTGACAGGGTGTTCGTCAAAAAACCTTTATTAATTTTTTAAACACTTTCTGCATTTTTTCATCTCTTAATACTTATCTCTTACGCAATATAATTGATGTGCACAAATTCATTCGGTTTTGTTTCTAATCGCGTTCAGTGATTACTTAATTAGTTAACCGATTTCATTACCCTCAAACGACTTCTCTTATTTTGATTATGGATAATGATGACCATATATCAATTATACTTCGCATTACTACTTTTCAGGTTACAAATGCACATCAATTTTAACTGTTTATTCATTCATTTTGTGTCTTCTCTTCACTTTCTTGTGATTTCGGTTGAGGTTTGAATATTTATTTAAACTTTAGAAACTAAAGTATATTAAATATTTGTTTATAATTTTATTATCGATTTAATTTTGGGCTGTGTGTGGCTAATAAGGAATAGAATAGAATAAATTTGTTTTATTCTGCACGCCTTGTTCTTCCTGCTGTTTTCAAATTTATTAATAGGTCTGAAAATGCTAATTCTGTCCCAAGAGTGTGCATCTACTCAAAATTTCTCGCAAACTTTGTAAAATGTCATTCTACTTGTAATTTATTTAACTGCAAGTTAAGTGCATATTTTTCTTAACACTAGTTCAGTGATTAAGACATATGCGTCTTAACATCACAAGTTCAAATTTATCAAGGTTTACTCTACTTGCTATTCTTCCTGACCCATACACAATTGGTATAATCTACCACATGAATTTCGTTTGTTTAACTGTTGCTCTTTACAGAACCTTCTATATAAAATGCATTTTCAAACTATTTTGAGTTATACGTTGACGCACATGTAAGTAGTAGGATTTAGATCGTAGCAGCAAATTTGCTTTCATTTTTATTTAACATAAATCACCTAAGAAAGTGAATAGAAAAGTATTCAACCGATGAACGAATCATTAAAAAGTGAGAATGACTAATAGTGAACATTATATTCGTACGCTAAGCTAATTATTCCCAGCTTTGACTTTAATATGATGAACAAGATTACTTTCATGTTCTTTTTTGCTACCACCTAACTAGAATAAAAGATCCCATTTTGTATAAAAGCCTTCTTGATAAAGTTTATTCACACTGTTTATTAAACATTAGTGATTATTATTTACTGAGAAATTGTTACTGAGTGTAGAATCATATTGAATAATTCAGTACAACAAAAACTTATTGAAAGTAAAGTAGGCGAAAGTCACTTTAAATCGATATGGATTGTATTAAGAGATATAACATCCCAAACAAAAGCATAGAATTAAAATGACTATTTAAGACTTTCAATAAAACACATGGTTTTAGTACCCAGAACTCCGCCTGTAGCTCCTCTGGGGGTTACTGCCGGTCCCAAGCCCGGGTAAAGGAGGAGGGTTCGGCATGGGGTTAGCGACCCCATCCCGTAGAAAATCAACTCGCTAAAAAAACGCTAACCAGAAAAAATCATTCAAACTCTGCCCTGGGAGTAGAAAGAATAATTATGACGTCTCATGATGAAAGCCGAGTTCCTTCGGAAGTCATGAGGTCGATGCACCTTCTTACAACCAGAGCGACAATTTTTATAGGTACATGGAATGTCCGAACAATGTGGGAGACCGGAAGAGTTTTCCAAATTTCTGCAGAAATGAGAAAATACAACCTGGAGGTTCTTGGAATCAGCGAAACACATTGGACGCAGGTTGGACAACAACGACTGTCTTCAGGAGAACTTCTGTTATACTCCGGTCATGAAGAAGAAAATGCCCCACATACACAAGGAGTTGCATTGATGCTGTCCAGAAAAGCACAAAATGCACTTATAGGATGGGAATCTCATGGACTGATATAGCATCCGATCATCATTTGCTGGCCGCCAAGATGAAACTAAAACTCAAGAAGCACTGGACAACGGCGCGGACAACATCACAAAAGTTTAATACGGTCTTTCTTCGAGATGCTGACAAACTCAACAAATTCAACATAGCCCTCAGCAACAGGATCAAAGCCTTTCATGATCTACTCAATGGAGAGGGAACTACCATGGAGAGCAACTGGAAAGTTATCAAGGAGGCAATCGTTTCAACGTGTCAAGAGGTTCTGGGCCAAATGAAGCACCATCACAATTAATGGATCACTGTTGGTACACTGGATAAGATTGAAGCAAGGAGGAACAAGAAGGCAGCAATCAATATCAGCCAAACCAGAGCGGAAAAAGCCAAGGCACAAGCCGAATACACAGAGGCAAACAAGCAAATGAAGAGGAGCATCAGAACCGACAAACGTAAATATGTGGAAGATTTAGCGATGACAGCGGAAAAGGCTGCAAGAGAGGGAAACATGAGACAACTGTATGATACAACAAAGAAACTTGCTGGAAATTACCGTGAGCCAGAAAGACCAGTGAAAAGCAAGGAAGGCAAAGTAATCACCGACATTGAAGAACAACGAAACAGGTGGGTAGAACACTTCAAAGAACTCTTGAATCGACCAGCTCCACTGAACCCACCCAACATCGAAGCAGCACCCACGGACCTCCCAATCGATATTGGCCCACCAACAATTGAAGAGATCAGCATGGCCGTTAGACAAATCAAGAGCGGCAAAGCAGCGGGACCAGACAACATCCCGGCAGAGGCACTGAAAGCAAATGTAACAGCAACTGCCAAGATACTCCACATCCTCTTCAGTAAGATTTGGGACGAAGAAAAAGTACCAACAGACTGGAAAAAAGGACTTCTGATCAAAATACCAAAGAAAGGCGATCTCAGCAAGTGCGACAACTACAGGGGCATCACTCTTCTCTCAATACCAGGAAAAGTCTTCAACAGAGTATTGTTAAACAGGATGAAAGATTCCGTGGACGCCCAATTTCGAGATCAACAAGCTGGATTTCGTAAGGATAGATCGTGCACAGATCAAATCGCTACTCTGCGGATCATTGTGGAACAATCAATCGAATGGAATTCATCACTCTACATTAACTTCATCGACTACGAGAAGGCATTTGATAGCGTGGACAGGACGACACTATGGAAGCTTCTTCGACACTACGGCGTGCCTGAGAAGATAGTCAATATCATACGGAACTCCTATGATGGACTAAACTGCCAAATTGTTCACGGAGGACAACTCACCGACTCGTTTGAAGTAAAGACCGGTGTTAGGCAAGGTTGCTTACTCTCACCCTTTCTCTTTCTCCTGGTGATCGACTGGATCATGAAGACGTCAACATCTGGAGGAAATCACGGGATACAGTGGACAGGCAGGATGCAACTTGACGATCTAGACTTCGCGGATGATCTGGCTCTTCTATCACAAACGCAACAACAAATGCAGGAGAAAACGACCAGTGTAGCAGCAGCCTCAGCAGCAGTAGGTCTCAATATAAACAAAGGGAAAAGCAAGACTCTTCGATACAATACAATATGCACCAATCAAATTACACTTGACAGAGAAGCTTTGGAGGATGTGGAAACCTTTACATATCTGGGCAGCATCATTGATGAATACGGTGGATCAGACGCAGATGTGAGGGCGCGGATCGGCAAAGCAAGAGCAGCATACTTACAACTGAAAAACATCTGGAGCTCAAAACAATTGTCAACCAACACCAAGGTTAGAATTTTCAATACAAATGTCAAGACAGTTCTACTGTATGAGGCGGAAACCTGGAGAACTACGAAAGCCATTATCCAGAAGATACAAGTGTTCATCAACAGCTGTCTACGCAAAATACTTCGGATCAGATGGCCAGACACTATCAGCAATAAGTTACTGTGGGAGAGAACAAACCAGATTCCAGTGCAGGAAGAAATCAGGAAGAAGCGCTGGAAGTGGATTGGGCACACCTTGAGGAAATCAGCTAATTGCGTCACAAGACAAGCCCTCACATGGAATCCTGAAGGTCAACAGAGAAGAGTAAGACCAAAGAACACATTACGCCGAGAAATGGAGACAGACATGAGAAGAATGAACAAGAACTGGATAGAACTAGAAAAGGAAGGCTGAGGAGAGAGTGGGTTGGAGAAAGCTGGTCGGCGGCCTATGCTCCATTGGGAGTAACAGGCGTAAGTAAGTAAGTAAGTAAGTTTAGTACCCAGCGTTTTCGGTTTCACTTTTTCCGCTTCATTACATTCTTTTGACCACTCAAACTAAACAGACATTTATTTTTTGTCTAGAACATTTAAGAATATTTGCACGTAAAACAAACTCAAGTTAATATGAATACTTGTTTGTCAAAAGCGTTTTCCTTCACAGTTCCAAAAGAAAATATTGTTCCACAATATTTTTTTTCGAATTTTAATGTCACTTACTACTATCTATTAAACGTTCAACGTTTTTCATGACTAAACAGCCAAGCTATTCCAAAGAAAACATTATTGGCCAATTTTAGGTAACGACGCATGAAAGAATATATAATTAATATGAACGACAGTTTAGCATTTCGCAACAAAAATAGCTTTATTAGCAGAAACGTATTTTCAAAGTCGAAGGGATACTAAAAACCCCAATAAGCAAAAATATCACAAAGACTAACAAAAATAATTTTTATGGAGAGTCGGCTAGAAATCATTCATTTATATTACAGCTATGATAAATTAAAAATCACATCCAAAAGTTTATATTATTCACAAGATTCAAAAATGTTAATGTTCGAGGTTTTCATAATTTAACCGAAATTTATTTTTTCTTTCCCTAGGTTAAACAGCTTCAAGAGGCTAGAAATTTATGTAGTCAACTTGCATCATCTGGCGCTTCATTAAATTCACTATTGAATAAAGAAGTAGATATTAAAGAATTACGTGGGACTTCTTTAAGACGTCAAATAGATCGAGAATATGTTGAGGAATCTATTAAAACCGCTAAAAATGCTATCAATGGTCAAATTGACAAAATTCAATCATCACTTGTCAATATCACCGCTGATGAAACCAATTTAGATATGAAAATTGAAAAGAAACGCAGTGAATTAGAACGTAATCGTAAACGTTTATCTACATTACAATCTGTAAGACCTGTATATATGGAAGAGTATGAACAATTAGAAGAGGAATTATCTTCACTTTATACCACTTACTTGACAAAATTTCGTAATCTTACATTCTTAGAAAGCCAATATGAGTATCTTCTGGATAATATTAATCAAAATAATGAGGATACAGAAATTACTCTTAAAAATATAGCTGATCAAGTGAAAACATATTCGGTAGGTAAGAATGGTTATGAATTGTGTGCCTGAGCTTGTGTGAATACAGTAAAGAGTTTCTTTAATATTAAGTATGTATTTGAATTTAATTTAATTACTTTGTGGTTATTTAACATGAATATGTAATTAAACGAACATTTAATGTACGTGTTTCTACCATACTGTGTGAATCTGATATTGCAATGAATCAAAATTTAAATTAATGCAGTTTCAGTGAGTTGAAATTTAGTCAAATACATCGAATGTAGCACCAAATATAATAAAATGGTTATCAGAAGTCTACTTTATAAGTTGGATGGAAAATCTTTTCCAATATTCACAAACCACACGAAGACCATAAGCAATCGGCAGAAAGAATTTACACAAAGATAAATAACACAAAATTGCTTTTTTAGTTGTTCATTGAGATATTTAATATCATACTGCACACTGAATTTCTCACTGCCTTTCCATGTCTAAGGTTGAAGTTGAAATGTTAACATTTAATGCGATTGAACTCAATAGTTTTCAATAGTCATTTTTAATTGGGAATCCATATATCTTAAACTGGAGGGAACTGGGATGCGTGTAATAACTGTTGAACATGTGTATTTAGTTGAAAATGGCAAGTTGTATGTAAAAAGCAGGAAAAGAGAATAGGAATAACAGAACTTTGAGGTAAATCTACCCTGATGAGTAAATAAGTGAAACTCCTTTTTATACAAATATATCGGTGTGCTTCAGAGAAACAAAGAATAACAACTCATGTAGACTGAAACAGTCTACTATAATTAGGGAATATATGTTTCATATCTCTTACCACTTAATTATGAGGCATATCTGCAGCATGGGTTACTTAACATTGTAGCTTGAGATTTTGTCAATAAGCTTTTCAGTCCCTAAAAAATGTCGAATAGAAGCGCATAGAATCTGCTGCTGTTATAATAATGCTTGATACAATATTCACTACACTCAACAATAAAACAATTAAAACTGTTTATGGGCTTTAATCTTTTTACACGGAGTCTTCAAATATTTACTTTGGTTGCGATATAACTCAGTATCTCTGCTGACTATAATTTAGGAAATAATAGCTTTTTGATAATTCTATGGTAAAAATACATACACCGTACGACCTACTAATAATACAGCGATGTTTTGTTAAATTTGTTTTAATTTGGGATCAGAATGATATTATTTACAACAATTATAAGAAGTCTTTTAAAACATAAATTTTGGCAGCCTGGTTATCAACTTTTACTGGATTCATCTGTATGAGTAAATAAAGGTTGGATGCACACTGATCTCAATTACAAAGCAGGATGTTTGTAGGATACAATAGCTTACAATTTAGATTGCCGAAACCACCACCTTACTTGATTTTTGCGATACGAAAGTTTGGGATAAACGAAAGAAAGTGCACTTGATAAATTAATTGGTTACTGAACCATTTAAAATTACTTCGTAAATCGCATGGAGATTTTTGGTATAGATATAAGCTGATTGAAATGTGGCCAATTTTTTATGGATTATTAATTTGGATTTATAATTGTAGAACCTGATGAGAAATTATTGAAAAGAATATTCTTCGTTCATATAATTGTGTTTTCATATGATGGGAATTTTTCAGTGATTGAAATGTCTTTTTCAATGTGTATTGTTTTTAGAGTAATCATAAGACGAATCCAGTATTTATAAATTTTGGTCGTACTTCATGGGGATTGATGAAATTCCTATGGGACTGTAGTGTCTAGTACTATGTCAAGCACACATGGGTCATTCCATATTTCGGACAGACTAATATACTATTCTTCTTGTGTCACATTTTGACCTTGGCAGTTATTCGCTTATTAACCTTGACTGTTTTCATCTGAGGGTATGTAAGTATACAACTTGCCTTATTCATCACGCATCTTTAGCTTATTTTTGTCCAGTCATAAATATTTGAGTCACGCTTCATCAATTGGAGTTGTCAAGCTTGCCTGCCCTGTTTTTCTTCAGTTACCTGCTTCTCTTTATCTTAATGTCTGTCTGGATAAACGAGTGTCTGATTTAAATACTTCCAACTCAACCCGTACTTGGCTTCTTATTACCACCGTCGCATAAACGGCGTTAGCCTAGGTGTAATATATGGGGTCGAAATAGAAGATTCATATTCATGGAACATCAATTCCTTTCGAGATGGAGTCAGACCAACAGTCCACTAAAGGGCTCTCATAATTTCCGTGTAACTTCAAAACTGGGTATACAGTGTGTCAGTGAATGCAGTTCTGTTGTATGACTATAAGATCTGTCCCCTTTTAGTTGAGGATGTTCAGCTGTCACTATCCTGATCATCATTGTCTCCGAAAGACTGCTGATATCTGACAGCAACACTGTCCGCAAAGTATATTTGAGGACATTGGTGAAAACTCAATTGGTGCTATAATTTTGAAACATAGGTGTCATTGGCCTAGGGATGCCTTAAAAATGTTATCCATCAGGCCTCCATTCTGCTTTATTGGCTTACGCTAGGAGTAGATGGATAAAGTAGAGAGGTGGTTAGTTTATGATGCCAGGTTATGGTATCGAAAAGTCATATAGAACTAGATTCTGTTTTCCCATCAAGGATTCCTTGCTGGATGACCCAAGAGATCACAGAACTTAGTGTCTTATAATGTTATCAAACATAGCTCAGAATAGAAGCCAGTAAAGATCATGCTAGCGCTACCTATTATGTTTTTCTATAAAAGTAGGATAATCCGTTTTTACTCGACGAAATTGACTTTGACTGTATTTCTAGCTGAATTATATCTCTTATCGAACACTGCTTGTTCATCTACTTAATTATTGACCATAAAACTTCTCCTTATTCCACTTCTTTGTAATGTTATCATACATAAGCATTTATTTTGATTCCCAATATACTAGTGGAAATATTTTTTATCAGTAGACTTTTATGCCAAATTTTCTTGAATTTGTTTTTCTTCTGTATTTGCGAGTTACTTTTTTACAAACATTCAAACAACAGATGCTTCGTCAAGTGTAATGATGATAAAAGTAACTGATGCATTACAACAAAGATATACATGAATAAATATCATGTAAAGACTAGTGTGATATTACTACTTGTTTTTCTGAAGTCTCTAGACATAAGAGAGGTTCGACTTTGTAACTAGATAATTCAAATTGCGTTCCATGAAGTAATTAATTCCGTGTATATTGATAATCATTGTGTTTTTATTTTCGTTTAGTTTAGAGATGAAGAAAATCAGAGGACTGCTTCGTATGGTGGAGATGAAAATACTTTTAAGAATCAATTAAATTTAAAAACTAATGCTGGAGAATATAGTCGTTTTTGTGCTGAGGTTGATAACGATACAAGTGATAACGATGATATTGATGATGATGATAATGATGATTCAATCAATGATCAATATAATCAAACTGAAAATGCTGAAGATATCGTTGAGAATGATAATTCACTTTATCAAAGTAGTAATGGAAATACTAGAAAACGTAGATTTTCAAGAAATCAACTCAAACCTGAATGGTCTCCTGGTCGTCAGCATATTCCAGGTACCAGTTATCATGGTAGAACTCAAAGTTCGAACAACAGTGATGATTTTCAAGTAAATGAAGGAAGCTATCGGTCTACAAACATGGATGAATCACTGTTAACAAAACGGTCACAGAAAGTAAGTCCAAAATGAACTAAATTTACTTCTGAATATTAATAGTAGAAGTGCTACATTTGAAGAGATTACGATATCACCTAAACCGGTGAACGGAACAGTCAGCAACATAACGACAAGACCGGCTAAGGCTTTTCACTGCGCCTCAGTCATTGTAACTAAAGGGAGAAGACCAACCTCAGACGAGGGGAAAGTATATTACAAAGCAGTCCGGAAGGACTAATGAACAAGTACGCAACGCATGTGTATATATATAGTACAAAAATGTCCTTGGGAAACGTCACAAAGTAGCGTACTAAAAGAAGAAACGAACTAATGATATTTAGGTTCTTCTCAAGTGGTAAATACAAACTGAAGGTAAAAGTGAGATCAAGTATCCTCAACAAAATGTTAAGTTTTTCCTGGCGTCATTATGGTCGTCATTTCATAGATTATGTAAACAGTGTTAACTATTTCAAGTTGAAAATTATTTATATTTATCTAAATTACAATTTAATAATAGTGTTTATTGCACTATCGAAATTTAACCATTCGAGTATCTCGGATACATATCATTTTTCCGTAAATCTAATTGGTCATTACGGTTTTAAGTCCTATTTCACTCACAAATTTATGCAGCCTACTATCATCCATCAATACATCCTTTAGATATTACTTATTTAATATTATTTTTTCATATTTTTATTGTCTCTCGATGCGCTGATTTGAAGTATTACAACTTTAACCAATTCACATTTGTATTGAATTGCACATATTTCCATGAATTTGCCTCTTTTAGAAAATGAGTCATTCGGGGTGAGGGTTAATTCCACTTGCTTTAGCAGTTTTGATCTTGCACCTGACTACTAATAAAAATGAAGCATGAATTATTATTTGCACTATCGTAATCCATGATGGAGGGCGTGTTTCATTCTACGTTAGAAACTATTTCAAAATATCTACAGTTGAGTGAATAAATAAACGAAAACGTCACCGTAATTACTGACTACGATACACTCAGATGATTTGACAACGTGGAGTTTATTCTTAGCCGAATAGGATGAAAAGAGTGTGTACTGTTATCTAGAATCTTATCTAACTTCATCTGGACATAAATCTTATACAAAATCAGCATTAAAATGAACCAGGATCTAAATAAAAAATGTTATTCATAGAATAGAATTTTTAGTTGTATTTCTACTGTTTTCGGAAATGAACTAAGAAATTTTGTAGTAATAGTATTTAGTACAATAAAGTCAGTCAGCAGTGGTTAGTTGACTGGAATTTAAAGACAAACATGTTTTTGGTGAATACTTTATTAATTTTTCTGACCAGATAACAAATAGATCAGTATGAGAGAGTGTGAAGATTATAAAATGTTATTAGTATCACGAACCAACCTAAGATAAAAACAACCGTTAAAACCTAAGAAGCATTAGACACCTGTTTAATTTAAATATGGGGCTCCCCAGTTGTGTCCATCTATAAATCCACCAAGAACCGAACTCAGAATTTTCGGCCTCGTTCACTAACGATTAACCTCTAAACCACTTAACCAAAACTCACTGTCGTACATGTCTAACTTCATTAAATTTATGATGCTGCACAACTATCTTCCATTGTTAATGATAAACATATATTTATTTGTTATATCCCAATAAGTAATTTTGGTCATCTATTTACCCTGAAGAAGTGGCTTAAATTAAGTCACTAAACGTGCGAAATACAATTTTTCTACTCATTGTGTTACAACAAAAAATGTATATTTATTATTAACTTTCTACCCAATGCTCAATTTATTTGTAACTATCTTCCATTGTCTTCAGAGTCTTTTTTGTTCACTTTTAAAGAGTTCGGTATTAATTCTGTATTAATAATCATGACTGTTGCAGGGATATTAATGAGGTATTGTAAGTTACTTTTTATTGTCTGTTGGATACTAGCAATGTTGATTGAAAACCATAAATACAGTCATGTAATTATCAGGATTTTAAGTTTGTTATTCCTTGTCTTTGAGTATTCCTGTATTATACGTTTCTGAAATAATTATAAATGAAAAATAAGGATAGTTTTTAAGCAATCCATTGTGCCAAACACTTACTTACTTACGCCTGTTACTCCCAATGGAGCATAGGCCGCCAACCAGCATTCTCCAACCCACTCTCTCCTCAGCCTTCCTTTCTAGTTCCATCCAATTTTTGTTCATTCTTCTCATGTCTGTCTCCATTTCTCGGCGTAATGTGTTCTATGGTCTTTCTCTTTTCCTTTGGCCTTCAGGATTCTATGTGAGGGCTTGTCTTGTGATGCAGTTGGGTGATTTCCTCAATGTGTGTCCTATCCACTTCCAGCGCTTCTTCCTGATTTCTTCCTGCACTGGAATCTGGTTTGTTCTCTCCCACAGTAACTTATTGCTGATAGTGTCTGGCCATCTGATCCGAAGTATTTTGCGTAGACAGCTGTTGATGAACACTTGTATCTTCTGGATAATGGCTTTCGTAGTCCTCCAGGTTTCCGCCTCATACAGTTGAACTGTATTGACAGTTGTATTGAAAATTTCGATCTTGGTGTTGATTGACAATTGTTTTGAGTTCCAGATGTTCTTCGGTTGTAAATATGCTGCTCTTGTTTTGTCGATCCGCACCTTCACATCGTTTATGGATTATCTGGTCACTAAAACCCACTTGAACAGGATTCGAACCGGTGACTGGATAGTACTGCTTGGTGTTTTAGTAACATGGTTTAAACTCTAAACAAATGCGTAGACTAAAGACATATGGTTTCTTTGAAATAATAACTGAAGTTTCCAACCACTCTTCAGAAATTTCTCTAAACGTATTCTTTCAAGGGAAACGTTTAACTGTCTGTTTAGACAATCAACGTTGATCATAAACACTGTAGAGTTTAGAAAAAGTATATATTGGCCTTAATTGTTATACTATAATAGCACAGGGAAAGAAAACTGAGAGTATTTATAGAAAAGAAGTAAATATAGAAGAAGCATTTATAAACGTAAAGAATATGATTTATAGAGGATGAGTGAAATTGAGAAATAGGTAGTATGAAATAGCAATAAAAACTCAAGCTTAAAAGACAGAGAATGGAGGAATCTTGATTATCACAAATTTTTTTGATTTATCTATGGACAAGAACTTGTGGAGTGTAAAGTATACTGAACATTGATCAGTTTTATTATTTAGTACTATCATGTTTCATCTATTAATTACAAAGTAATGGTTAATCGCTAGGTCAACTAAACTTTATTTTTATATCTACTTACGATTAATAACTAAAAGTTTTTTTATTACTACATTTAATAGTCCTATTATTTCCGAACAGTGGATTATTCCATTTTTAGCTCAGAAAATGAGTTTGTTCTTTAGACAACAGTCGAATGATATCCTTTCTTCCCATCAATAATAGTAGGAAATATCTGTTGAATCTGATTGAGATACGCAATTCACATACCTTTGATTATTGATGATTAAGTAGTACCATGTAAATTTACTAAGATCATTAAGTGTTTGGTTTTAAGCAAGATAGGTAGGTCAGTAAAAATTACATTGGTTTAGCCAACAGCTAATTCAGGTAAAGGTTCGTTGACGTGTGTAGAGGGGAAACTGGAAAGCCCTCAAAGTGATCATTTTAAGGCATAATTCATTCAAGGGTAATTCATATAAGTCACAGTCTATCGTATTTAAAAATTTTTCCTGACGTTGTTTTGAAAAGGAAAAAAATTTAAGTTTACAGAGGCTATTTCATATAGTCTTCTTATCTTGAGTTTAGTGGTATTATTTGATTGATTGCAATCTTCTTACATATAAACTTCCGCTTATTCGCCAGTAACTAACACTATTCATTTATCTAAGCTCATTTGATATCTGATGACTTTCGTATGTTATTTAGTTTTAGGTAGTCGCCGTTTAAATAACATTTAATCTGCTACATTTTGTCATACCTATTAAGCACCTTGTCTAATACAAGGTGGCAAATTTATGACTATTTCTTGTAACTGCCAATATCGTGGATTAGTATCATTTAGGTTAGAAAACGATAATCAAAAGTGCAACTGATCAATAATCGTTTTGCTTTATTTTATTATTAGTACCACAACAACTATTATTACTACTATTACCAAATAAAATATTATGTAATTTAAAGATAAAATCCTGTACGACTCTATTGTTTACATGTTGTAGTATTTTGTTTGATTCAACAGGATAATTATCCAACAGCAAGTGCTGAGAATGAAAAGCAAACATATTTGAAGCATGCACTTCAATCTGAGGAGAATGAACATGATGATTTTTAAGTGAATTATTAACATGCTAGTGATTTATTTATTTCTACAAAATGTATAATAAAAAGTTATTGTAAAAAGAAGCATTATTTATTCTTCTGTGAAGTCATTCTAATTGAATAACATTACTGATGGAAGTATAAAATCAGGTTAATTGTAAAGTATCTTCAATTTCTGTTGTTTATTTTAAGAATCTGAGATTTAGTCAATCCCTATAATTGTGTGAACTACTTATTGAATCCCTTGATTCTTAAGTGGATTTGCAAGTTGATTACACTTTGGTTGGTATCTATGAGAGGTTCAAGTAAAAAACTAGAAATCCTTAAAAGTAATCAACAATACTGTGTTTGCCGAATACATTGGTCAGCGTTAACACGAGGACGCAGGTACATCCAGACAGGATATCCTGACCGAACTGAAATAGTATAAGAAACATGTCGTATAGTCTGTTGTTAGCCACTATTCAAAGTATAAGGAAATATAGTAACGTCATCTGTAATGAAGAAATTATGTTAAATTATATGCCGCAAGTACTAGGAAATTTCAAACTCTATGTGATCCAAGCACTTACCACAAAATATCTGGGCAGTTGGAACATTTAGACCATTTTTTGTCCAAAACAAAAGACATAGATTCAGCTTAACAAACACAGCCAAAATACGAAACTTCAGCATACTGCTGTGTTTTTTTAGTTCGGGTCTACCCAACACTGGATGTAAATTTTTCAGTTAAAAACGTTTTTACTTAAAAGATATTAAAGCAAAGGTTGATTAGTGTAATAAAAACGGACACCCCATTATGAGTATAGATAGGTCCAATAAAGAAGAATGAGAATTAGTTACGACAACTGATGTAAAAATAGGGTGAGAAATAACTGAAATGATAATTTCCACTATTTAGAGAAACTCACATTATCTCAAGTCTGATTGTTGTTAATATAGTTGATAATTGACAGAAAGTGAATGTTATGGTTTTCAATATATTGTTTGCCTTTAAACATAATAATGTTTTTTAGTCCAGGTGGGATAAACTATTGAAAACGGATAAGTTAGTTAAAATTCTGACTTCAGTCCTGCTTTGCTTCAATGGTTAAAGTTTGTATACTAAGTGAATAATCATAATCAAGAATGAATTGGGTGGATATTCTGAGAGAGGAGTTCAACTGTTTTGTTTGAATTTGTATAAACACTTTCTTTTTAGGAAAATGTGTTTGACAGTGCCTCTGCATAATGATAATTAAATGTTTAGTGTCACAGAAAACAAATCTCTGGTTAGAACATTCATGTTTTTTAAATATTTGGTAATCCTCTTACATGCATATGGTATTTCAGAACTTCTCATGGTTCATAATGAGGGTGTTTTAACATTGTCTGGTTGAAATAGCTTAAAATCATATTACGTTTTGGTTATCTAAAAGGGTTATGGTTTTGACTAGTTTTGAAATGATACCTTACGTCACACCTTCCTTTCTATTTGTTCAAAGCTTACGGGCTGATAAATACACCAGGATTAAACAGACGGCTGCATAATCCGACATAACGTATAAAGATACTAATTTGCTTAAAACTGTTCAAGAGTATTTCATGCAAGCAAGGGTTGCTGTGCTTGAGGGGTATGTATCGAAAGAATTGGTAAAAAACCACAAAATATACCCGAGCTGGGAAGGGAATGAATCATGGTAATCTTATTCACCTCATATTTTGTACCGGATGAAATCTGGCACACTAATGTGTTCGTAAGCATTTTTTAACCATTTTAGCACTCACAGACCAGTGAGACAAGGAAGTCAGCACCGATTTTGCTTAGTAAATAATCCTGAAATTCATGCTGGTGGTATAGATGTGTATCACTTTTGATTTACGGCCGAACGTAGCATCATCCTACCCAATTCAAATGAACCAAATCTTCGTTTGTTATGCTTTTTCTTTATAAATTTAAATAACTATTCAGAGTGATATTTGAATGAATGTGAAAATAATGACGTTTCTCGTAATTTCCGATCATCCAGACACATTGAGAAGTAAAAGTATCTGAAGAATGATTTTATCGCAGGATGATATCAACTAAAACATCAGTCGAGAAAAAAGTAGAAAATAGTTGTTGCCTACCCTTCTGGGACTCCTCAGTAGTATGCATACTCAACACTCTACCGAATCAAAATAAGAATCTATAAGTCTTGGGTAAAGCACATTACCATCAAATCATTGTATTAGAATCCAGCTAGCTATAAACGTTAGTGATATGACCTATCATCAAAGTAATTAAATATATTTTAGATTTACTAGTTATTGGGCTGCTCCCTACTGCTGCTTTGTTCTTGTGCTTAAATAATGTTTATTCGTGAGTCATAGTGGTTATATAAACATATATCTACAACTAACTTCTACTTTTTCGGAAATCATCCAAACTTCTTACTGTATAATATTAGATCAATTAAAATGATTTAAGTTGAAGCTTGTTAGCTCTTCAATTGAGAAGAACATATAATAGATGACAGTTGTAGTAGTGAACTTTATTTATAAGACATGTACTCCGTTTCTACTAGTTGTGAATAGAACACGCGTTTGCTGAAGATAGATTACAAGTATTGATTTGAATAGAATCGTGACGCAACTTTATGTATGGTCCCGTAACTGAATGAGTTCAAGATGGGTTTATTTCAAGTATATATATGTGATAAGTTTTTACAGGCATCTTAAAGAACATGAAAATGTCAGTTGTTCTCGACCATCTCTTTCATATTTATGTAGAATAAAACAAACAAAAAGTTTTTCACAATAAAGAAACTATAACTGTTATAATTTGTTTCTATTCAAGGTCATTGATAATAACTAATTATTCTTATCATCTTAAATTTTGCTTTAAACAAAACTTAAATTGTATAGATATATATTACTTACAGAATAAAAACAAACTTGTAAAGAAAAAGTCGAAAAAAGTAATCCTTTTCAAAGTTAAATACTCTTGATATAATTAATATGATATAAACCTGGAGTATTTAAGAATAAATATAAGGTAATCTAAATTTTTACGGATGAAAAAACAAACAGAAATCAAGAATGACATTGTGACTTTTTACATAAGATTCTGATTGAAAAGACAAGAGATTTTTAATTGTTTCATATGTGTTCATTATTCTTACTTCACAGAATTAACGGTTTTTGTACAATTGCTTCTAGTACAGTTTTCATTCTTCATTTGGTGGGATGTCGTCGTAGTTAGTTGATTACAATCAGTTATACTGGCCACATGTTGTTGTACATTATAATTGTCTCCTATTCCATACGGATAATGGTAATGGCTACAATAATTGTTACCATACATGATATTTGAATTATTTTCAAAACAATTGAAAAGATTGTTGCTTGTTGGATTTATTCCATCTAGAATAATACCAGAATCCATACTTGTACGGTGTTGACAAGTTTCCACGTCGGAATTACACAATGTAGACAATGTCAGCTGATAATTTTTCATCATAGATATTGAATTCTGTGTTAAAGTTATTTTTGGTTCCCTAATAGATTTCGGAAAATTGACAATTGTAGGATTCCATGGCCATGTTATAGTTAACCATCCAAGAATATTATTTAGTGTTTTAAATATACTGTTTAAAGGTTCCTTTTTTGTTGGCATAGTAGAGGTTGTTATATTTTTTATATCTTTAAACAAAATAGGCACCAACATATTATTCCATAAGTCAAGAAACCAGTTTAATGACAGCTGAGAATGCATTGGACATGTTAGAAATGTTTGTATACCGAAAATAGTGAAATGATTTGATTGTAGCAATGAATAAGGAATTCCGTTTAGTTGATTCCAAAATTCAGTTAACCATGAAACCAACTGGTTAAGATTTTTATCTTCAACTTGTGTTACATATTTATTCAAAGAATCTTTATCTTCGTTAAATCCATGTGAAGAGTAAAATTCATTAAATAAACGATATTGAATTAATTTACGGTTTAAGCTTCTCTCTAAGTATTCTTTTGCATCGTTTATATCGGACAAATGATTTATAACTCTGCCAATTAAAATAAAAGTAATGGTTTTAATAATATGCAAAAAGGTTATGCTACACATACCCTCAAATTGTACACATTTTAAAGTAATGAATTGCAGTACATATAATATTGGACAATAGTGATGTTTTGAAATAATTAATCCCAATAAAAACAATCATATGACGTTGACGATTATTTCGGTAGAACAACTAGAAGACGGAGTTGGTCTGATCAACTAACTGACTAATTGCTGTAAATGATTGTGTTTTTAGGTGAAAATCACAGTGTAACATAATGGGTTGATTATTAATTCGCATGATAGATAACTTATTAGATAGCTTACTAGATAAGGTTATAAATGAAGAATAGATATTTTTAAAATCTGAAATTGTTGTTGTATATTATCTCTAATATTCTAGTTCTTAGTGCACAAGAATATAATGTAATACCAACGTTGTGTAAACATGGTTATTTTAGATAAGGATCAGTGATGAACCATGTTTCAATAAAAATCTTAAGATTCGAAATTGAATTTGGATTTCTTGCAATAGCCAAATATCAAAGACAACGCTTCATTACTTAGGGTGTAAATTTCTAAAATTTATGTTCATATGATACATATAATATTTAGGAATAGTTGGGGAGAATTCACTGCCAGATCAGAGTAATACTTATTACAATGCCAATTGTGTTAGGAAAACTTATCAATAAGGCATGGTTACTTCCTATTTACTTAAAAAGCACAATGAAATTATGTTGCAAGCGATAGTAGGACTTTGGGGGTGTCAGGGTTTATAAACTATCGTGTATTTGGTTTCATAATCGTTGTCCGTTAAGGTTATCTGGTCAAATAGTTGATGACAAAAAATCCAACTGCGTTAATTATTACACTAGTGCTTTAAGTGGGGAGGAGTGAACTAGTTGTACAGCTGTACGTGTTAAAACACATATTTGAATGACTTAAAGAACAGTTGTAGTTCAAAAACATGGTAACCCCAAGTGTCAATCCACTTTTTTGTCTTATCACTAAATATTCAGTAAGAAACTTCCATAAAAAGAATTTTATAGATTTTTTGAATGTCTATAAAAATTCTCCGGAGTGGATACTTAGACTTTCGAAATTTGTACACAAATGGGAATTCAAACCGTTATTATGTCGTAAAAACAATTGTTCTAATTTCAAACTCAAGTTGACAACCCTCATTTCATCTCTTAATGTTTTGATCGGTGACAAAATTTACTATTTCTTCATCATTTCTTATTTGTTTTGATGGTAAATTATTTAGTTAAGATCATCTTCATACAAAATGTTTGACGACTAAGTGAAAAATGGAGCTATTTGAAACATTTCTGGATGAAAGCAGATGAAAGCTAAACATTGCCGAGTATTTGACGCTAAACTGTGACACTCCTTTTCCTGGAGTAACAATATTGTGTAACCTTCTTTTGTTAAATTAATCATAAATTTGATGAACTCACTTTATCTGATTTTCTATCAAAAACTTCTCAAGTTCTATGTTACCAGTTCCACTAGTTCCTACAATCTTAGGACTAAAAGAAAAAAGAATTGTAATGTAAAGTATGTTGATTAAAGAAAGTGCGCAATGTTACTAGTTAATACAGGCAAGTTAAGATTTAAATTTTGATTATGTCTATGTATCCTGACCTTATATCAATGATTGATCCAAAACTTGGAGAAATCAAACGAGCACTAGAAATGTAGTTGAAAACAATTGAGTAATACCAATAGAGATAAAATGGGAAGTCGTCATAGTGGTATTGAGTTCTCTGAGTTGGATAGTTCGATTGTGAAGCTTTCATTAGCTTTCTTGACAACAAGTGTCTACTTCGAATAGAAGAAAGTGTCTTTACTATATCTTGTATGAATAACACTTAGGATTTAAGTGTTGAATTTTTAAGACAAGCCTGAAATATTCTGTCTTCACTGTCACATTTCAGCTGATTATTCCAGTTAGTGGAAAAGAGTGAATAGTTTCGAGGCACTTACGACTAACTGATTTATTTTAATTTTTTTATATGACCTTTTAAAGAAAGTGAGTTGATTTTGTGATTTACGTTACTTTGTAATGAACGTTATATGAAATGACATTTAACAAAAACATTTTGTTCAATCAAGAATATACGGAGGTCTCTTATGAAAAGATAATTTTACAGTTAATCTAATTTGTGAAACAAACATTAGATTTGAACAAATGGATTACTCAATACATTGTCTGTGTGAACAGTGACTGTAGACTGGTGAATTATTACCAAATTTTCAGTTCAAAACACGGGGACTATGAACGTGAACATGAATGACTATTTTGAAACAAGGGGAATAATAACAAAACCAATAAATTTTATCAAAGAAAACTAGCTGTATGAGATAAACGTTTATGATTTCTTCAACTCTCCGATAATGGTCCATATAAATGCAATGTTAGGTGAAATCGATAAACTATTAGTAAACAAATACCAGGACAAGAAATGATCTTGTCAGTTATAGATTTATACTCACAGAAATGTGATACTTTAGATAGGTCTAAGTATTGGGGGCACAATAAGAAAAGAAATTAGAAACTAGTTGTTTCTAGTAAATTTTTAATCACCCAAAGGATTTAAAGAAAGATCTTTGTGATAAGTTTAAGACTAATGAACTTAGTGGAGTAAATAATGGATAACTGTAATATTGTGTTAAGTATAATAGCTACCACTCTAATTGATAAATTTTCATAGCATTTTAAATGTGAATGTATAAAAATGAGGTCTGTCAAAATACATGATGTTCTTTTATTTTTTATAGTAGATCTTTTAAATAACCTAGTCAAGGCTTCAAATAATATATGTCATGACAGAAGTTGATGACATTTTCCTTTTGATGTATTAAGAGTGAAATGCAGTTCAAAAATAATTCCTCATCATGATATATTTTTCACAGTAAAGCAAGTCATCCTCCTATCGAAATACTCTGTTTAATTGCTTATTGGTTTAAAACACTTTTCTCCCAACCTCGCCTATCATTTGTGGTATATTGTTTTTAAATGTTTGCCAAATTGTAATTTAGTGGGAGTTGATTTTTATATGAACAAAATCTTCCCCCTGAAGAATCTTTTAGCACAAAGATCAGTATATAAAATGGGATATCATTTAAAGGAATTTATTGACAACTTTTGAACATGTAAGCAATCAATATAAAACATAGTCGTTTTATTTATTCCCTGACTAGCAGTATTAAATAGGTTTAATTTAAATCTATAATGAGGATAGCGTAGGCTATGAGTTAAGAGAACGACTTACTATATTTAATGTTTACTGATTAGAATCAACATTTAAAGATTTACAGTGTAGTTGGATTTCTTTTCTTGTCAATATGCAAGAAAAAACTGGACTATAATTAAAGGTAGCCTAATTGTGCATTAATCGTTTAGACCATCAGTTGATGGAATAAAAATTCGCATATAACAATAATTCATACTTTCATATAATTTGAAAATAATCCTATTAAAGTCTACTCCATTATTTTATTATTTATTATACTCATAGTTGAAAGCATCAGTCAGTTGAAGCTAGACCACCAAGGAAAACCTGGAAGCACTAGACGACCGTTTCGTTCTATTGTGGGACTCCTCGGCAGTGCGCATCCACGACCTCACCTCACGAGGTTTGAACCCAGGACCTATCAGACCTCGAATCTCGTGAGGTGAGGTCGTGGATGCACACTGCTGAGGAGTCCCACAATAGGACGAAACGGCCAATCAGTGCTTCCAGGTTTTCCTTGGTGGTCTAGCTTCAATCAACTAACGCTTTCAACTATGAAAATACTAAATCTCCACAAAAACCCCTTCTGATATTTTTTATGCAACATTCAACTATTTGAACATGGTCATTTTAACTTGGTTGGTTACAAATTATTTGTTGTTATTGGTCATATATTGTCTTTTATGGATTATATTTAAAGTTTACAAGGAAAAGAACTTCACCAAGTACTTACTAGGTTACGATATTTACTTGAATAATTGTAAGTCTATCAAATTGTCAGTAAATATGAAAGTTATTAAATCGATTTAATTCTTATCACAATTATTTTAAAATTATAGAAATATTCTAGAATGCATACAAACACATAGAACTATTCAGAAGGGGTTTTTGTGGAGATTTAAGTAATTTTATATAGTTGAGATCATGAGTCAATTGAAGCTAGACCACCATGGAAAACCTGGAAGCACTAGACGGCCGTTTCGTGCTATTGTAGAACTAACTTAAATTACTGATTAGTTTAAAATTTATTTACTAAATTTCGGATGGATGTTTTGAATTTTTTTAAGGGAGAATCAGCTGTTACTTACCAGTTCGAAGAAAATTTCAATTTACTGAAAAGGTCTGAAAATGACCCTTGAAAATGCTGAATGTTGAGTAAGTTTATCACTTCGGGGTAACCATTATTTGTAAATGAATTCAACTGTTGAGTCAGCACACTCTTCAATTCTTTAACAGTTGTACTGCCATCGTGTTTAAAGCGAAAATTGTAAACTGCATTCTTACTGTGTGGACTGAAACAGTATATCGTTTAATAATAAAGGTTACGTATATGCTGCAAAGATTATAAGCATGATGAAATTAAGTTCAAGATATAAATCATCCCAGTGGAAAAGACATTTAAAGGGTATGTCGGATTCCACAGACACAATTCACAATAATATTAGAAAGTAAGAATTTTTCTAGTAAAGTTCGGCAATCAACAAAACGGACATTAACTTGACTGAAAACCGACCTAATTCGACATAATTCTATTGCGTTTCTTTGAACAACTCACTAATAACTCATCAACGGTTTTTTTTCGAAATATAAAGTAGCATTGGATTTAATTTTGTTTTCTGATCAAACGCAAATATTATACGTCAAAGTCATCAATGGAAGAAATGTAACGTGTGTCTGTATAAAAAAATCCTTATCTGAAAACTAGAGCTGTTAAAGATTACCAAAAATCCAATGTGCAATGCACTGATGGATTTGAAATGAAATATGACTAATCAAATGAGTACGTTTTCAGTCTTTTTTTACACACACACATACAAATTTAGCATTTCAGTTAACTTTACTAGCTCTACTAAACATATGTTCCATAACGTATTCATTTTAAGAGAATTGTTTCGAATATATACAGAAGTGATGGGAATTAGGGTTTTTGTCATACATCATTTGGTGAGAAATGATAGTATTGCTCAATAATAATAGTGAGGATGGAAGTTCGAGTTTTCGGATATCAATTCGTTAGTCTAAGGGTTAAGCTCACATTGTAAAATCTAAATGTATTTAGATTTATTCATGTCAAAACCTCAGAAAAGTAGTATTAATGAGCCCCATACTTGAACAAAATTGCTGTCTAATTCTCACTAATTTTCAGTGATAGTGTATACAAAGTTGGTTCGTGATGTAAATTACAATATTACTTAATAGTAGTAACTGGACATGATTTATTTTCATCCTGAGGTATGTCTAAAGTTACCTGAAATTACACTACTCTATTGAAAACTATCTGAATAAAACAATTTGTTTATTTACGAAACGATGATAAACTGTAGTTGTAGCTAACAGATGAATCAATTTTATCAAATCAATCTCACTTTATTCTAAAAGTGATGTGCCTTCTAAAATACCTGCAATATATATATATTCACTAAAATGCTGGAACATATGAATGATGTCGTTCTTTGGATATGTTCTTATTTTTATTTTTTCCTCAACTTGAGATTGTATATGAAAAGCTTACGATGATGTTTCACTCACTATTATCATACTAATTACAGGTAGTGTATACCTAGTGAATTTCAAACATATTATCTATTTTACGTCAAATAAGGTTAAGTGTTGTGTGTAACGTCTGCTTCTTGAGCGATCTGTTGATAAACATCTGGTCAATTTAACCTTAAGTCTTATTCGGAGATTATTGTTGGGTCAATGTGTTTGACGTTTGATGACTTAGTTCATCACTCATATTCGGATATGGTCGAAGTTCCTCTGTTTTTGGCACATAGCATGATTTTTTTCAATTAGACATTGATATATTTTTTAAATTTTGGATAGCACTTCAATTTCGTGAATTTTTAAGCAGTTGTCTTTTGATATCTGAACTTAAATTAACTTAGTTCCTACCACTTTTATCGGATGAACGTTTCCTCTCCGCATATCTGTTTCTTTCTTTCTTTCTTTCTCTTCCTCTCTCTCTTTCTCTCTCTTTCTCTCTCTCTCTCTCTCTCTATATATATATATATATATATATATATATATAATTTACTTCAAAGGGCCTACGAGATCAGCAAGCAGAACGATTAACATCGCAGTTTTTACTATTAAAAACCAGTAGTCGTTCTGTAGACAATCAACTTACTTTGTAACCAAAATTTTAGTTAAGTCATTCACTAGCTGAGACTTCCCAGTTCCACTTGCTCCATATATTATCACTATTGAATTGTCTCGAATAGTAGATAAGTATGTACTCAATGTGATCAATGGTATTAAACTTCCAAAACATACGTATTTTAACATTTCTTTTTGTTCAAACACTTGTTGATGAGGTGGTTTTTGATCTTTTTGTAATGGGAATTTCATTGTGCAACCTTTCAAATGAATTTGTATTGATAATGTATAATGTTTAGCATTATATTTATTAATCATATCGTTTATCCAAACAATTGGCGATTGCGAATTAATCTGTTCATCTGTATATGGTATAGGTAACAACACTGTACAAGAGATCTGTGACTGACTTTCAGTTGATGAAGATGATAAAGTAGTGGTGGTGAAGGATCGTACAATACTTTGTGTTTTTATTTCACTTTGTTCAGTGAATGTGAAATTTAATTGGTAGGCTTGTAATTCAAGTGATTCCAACTGTAACTGATTATTAGGATCCAAGAAATTAATATAATACTGTAGATTAACAAAAACAGTAAGTGTAATTATGTTATGATCAATGTGTTAGAAATAAAGTGATATTTCCAGTTAGGATTACAATATTTTTTTCTACCGAAGTTAACAAATTCGTAGGTAATTAGTCGGTGCTTCTACATCATAAAACTAAAATTACATTAGGAAAACGTATTGAAACAATGGATTTCGTAAAGTATAAAGCATAGTTTAATTTTTATTTTATCTTGTGCACAATAAGTGGTATGGAATGGAATTTAGACATGATTAACAATAGGATTTTTTAAAGCTCCAGTTGGATTATGTAAAGGTGATGTGTACAGCTCAAATTTTTCACGATCTCAATGATCATTCTCAGAAATGTTTCCTAACCTAGATATTCACTTTTAGCAAGCAGTGGACATTTGACTCTCATTTTGTGGTTGGTAGATAAGGGATTGTCAATAACAATGGAATGCTTCCAACTAAACTGTATAACATCAGGGTTTTTAATTTACTCAAAATTTAATTCATCTGTCTTGTCGAATAAACCAAATGCCAATTTTCAATACTTTTCTTCACCGACTAACATAAGATGGAAAACTATTAGAAGGGACGGAGAACTAGTTAGTTGGTCGTTAGTGGTATGAAAAACATCAGGAATATGAGGGACCTTAGGTTCTGATGAACACTTGATGAACACTGTTGAGAAGCACAAAAATAATTATTAAATAGCTTAAAGTCGTGAAAACTATGTGCAAAGCGAGCATAAAATGCACCAAAAAAAATGCGCTACGATAACTTTCTAATAAAGTAGCAAAGAACCATACGGCTGTAAAGCTAATAGTTCTGTCTTGTCTGTTTTACATTTTTACCGGAACTCTTCCGTGTATGGAATTTTTAGTGATCGAAATCCCTCCGTCACATTACCTTTGAATATTGGTGAGAATACCTTAGATGCGTATCACAGGAAAAGACTGAGGTTTAAGAATAGCGTCCTATACATTCTGCTCTCTAGTCTATTGTTTCTGAAAATCTTCTAATATTAGTCTGAAGAAGATTTTTAACTAATTTTCTCTGATTCGCAAATTTTAGTTGGATGACAACAGTTAATAGTTTAAATTACCTTCAAAATAAACGACAATCTACACTAAACCCTTCAGTTTTATTTATCTTCCTATATATTGTGATTTTGTCATTAACTGTTGGATTTTTTCGGTTTTTAAATTTACCAAATAATAGACATAAAAACTAAACAAGATATTCTAATCCGGTATAATGACTTAATGATAATGAATAAAAATACCAATAGTGTAGATCACTTTTTATTTATTTAGGTAAAAGGGTGAAGTTACTTCTATGAATTATATATATATATATATATATATATATATATATATATATATATGACGTAACACTACAGCAGGTGGTATGCACTAACATAAAATGCATTAGTAACGACAACGCTGGGTAAATTTTCATTGTTTTCAAGTAAGGTCACGCACTCATACAGGGACTGAAATTTAATAATCACTAGTAACTTAAAGCTACATTTGTGCTATTCGTTGTCATTATGTAATTAAGAATATGAAATTGAGGGGCTAAACAAATTGAAAAGAGACTTTGTGACAAGAGAGTGTTAAAAAAGAGCTGAGCCAAGTTGATTGGAAAATGGAGTGATGTTAGAGCAATAACAAGAGAATTTTGGAATATGTGCATTATATATCCAGCTACTTAAATTGATAGACAAGATTTGAATAATATCTAGACGGAGCAACCCTAGTAACGAATGGGTGTCATGTCATTTAGACAGGAGGTCAGTCATGTCCCAATAAGCTCTATGATGATATCTCTGACTGTAGGACTGAGTGTTTTAGGTTTATATATCTATAGGAACATCTTTTACAATAATAATACAACTATATCTTTTGGATGTGTGCCAAATACTGTGTGATCCTAGCCCCATGGGATTTTGTCAAAGACTTTTGATTGTGTGATGCCTATTATACTGTAAAATGTGAACATTAATTTATTTGAATCAGTGACTGATACAACTTGGTGTTGTCTAAATTAAAATCTCATCAACTCCCCAGATATTTGTGACTGAATACCTAACAACAATGAAAAATTGTTTTGCTCAAAATGCCAATTAAAACTAATCAACTATTTAAAAGTTAATGATTTTAAATCATATTAGAAGTAAAAATCTATACTGTGTCGAATTCTATCATAACGGTTAAAAGTATATCCTGAATTTGATTGATAAACAGAATTTGTGTATGTACTGTAATTTAGGCACAAACAAGTGGATATGAAATTTACTTTTCCGCCATTACTTTCAGACTTTCTTAGTGAATATCAGTTCACAACAAAAAAGTCCCTATTTCTTACAATTTTATTGTCAAAAACTTTTAATTAAATTTTGCTTAGAATCTTAGTACTATATATTTAGCTTGAAAGAAATGCTGAAAGATTCAAACTACAGTATATTCCAATTTTTCAATAATGTACAAATCTTTCAGCAGGTTTTACTAGGTAAATAACTGTGATTGCGGTGAATTTACCATGAATCAGTGTCGTTATTTTGTAAATTTTTTGAGTCCCATATACCAGATTTCGAGTGACATTTGGTAGGTAGCTCTTTCATAAGTCCTAATGGCGTTTTATAACGCTTTAAGTGATTGGAAGCTACAAGATATAATGTATTAAAAAATACGTTGTCCGTTTCTGTGATAACATGAGGAACAACAGAGCTTGTACTTTGTACGTTACTATCGTCCATAATGTGAAGAAAATGTGCTCTGTAGACGAGCACTGACATATTATACCAATTTTAAGAAATAAATAACCAATTATAACGAATTTAAAACTAGCCATTTAATTAGAGAAAACGAAATGAAAAAAGTTGGAAAATGGGATGAAAATTTTTTTCATAAAAGATGAACAAAAAGGGCTGTCAGTTTAATGATATTCAATTTTCAAAGTATTACAGCCCATTATTTTTATTTCACAATACTAGGTGGGGATTTTTAAACCACACAAAATGTTAATTTTAAAGGAAGTACAGAATAGCAAAGTAACTCGTATAGTCCATCAACTGCAAGTAATCATAGTAAGTCATGTATGTCATTTCTTTACCCATTGACAGTAGTCGATAAGTAATTTAAGAACACGTTTACATTCTTAGAAGCTCAATCTATTATGATACTTAATATATATGAAAACATTATCATTTAGATAGAAGGAATATGAGTAACAGTGAGTAACAGAAGCGTGACAGATTATTCCATTGTTCAGTCTATAACTTTAATATGAATTAACTTCAGTAGCTTGAAAATTGGTTTCTTAAATATCTGAAGAAAAGCTATCACCTGTTAAATCAATCAACTTGGGGTTGAGGCAGTACCTAATTGGTGATAGTTAGAGTTGAGCTGTATCATAAATGATAAAAACCGAAAAACGAAAATTACCTCATCTTGACTAAAGCATCTAAATGGCCTTCGATATCTGAAATCTCGGGTACACACTGTTCAAGAGTTCCAAAATAGGAAGAATCCAGCTATCTAGTGCTTAGTAATTTTCAATAGATTTTCAGTTGATATTTCATCGACTGTTTTCTTAACAAGGAGATACAAGTTTTATACTTTAAGGAGAATGTTGTCCCGGGCTCATTCACATCTCTAACTATTGAACTTATTGGATTTAAAGATTTGAAAATTTCGCGCTACCGAAACTAACAGCCATGCAAACTTGAAATTCGGTGATTATCCCTTCTTTTTAGTTAGTTCTCTAAAAAACTTAAACTTGCTTAATTTGGCTTGACTCAAATCATAAAATAAACAGTTTAAAAGTCTCGTATCTCTGTCGTATAAAACAGCTAATGACAAATATTTAGTCCCATGACTAAGGGAATTGACTGAATTCCTCCGCGAAAGTTTTCATCTAATATCAGTCATCATTTGTGTATACAAAATCGATTAGTAGGAAATGAATTCGTGCATTTATGCTTCAGACCTCCGCCTGTAGCTCTTCTAGAGTTACTGCCGGTCCCAAGCCCGGGTAAAGGAGGAGGGTTGGGCATGGGGTTAGCGACCCCATCCCGTAGAAAAGCTAACTCGCTAAAAAAACGCTAACCAGAAAAAATAATCCAAACCATTTAAACTCTGCCCTGGGAGTTGAAGGAATAATGACGTCTCACGATGAAAGCCGAAATTCTTCGGAAGTCACGAGACCGATGCACCTTCTAACAACCAGAGCAACACTCTTTATAGGTACATGGAACGTCCGGACAATGTGGGAAACAGGAAAGACCAGCCAAATAGCAATGGAAATGAGGAGACACAACTTGGCAGTACTCGGAATCAGCGAAACCCATTGGACACAAACTGGACAACAAAGGCTAGGTACAGGAGAGATGCTGCTGTACTCCGGTCACGAAGGGGAAAATGCGCCACACACTCAGGGAGTTGCTCTAATGCTGTCCAGAGAAGCACGAAATGCACTTGTGGGATGGGAATCTCATGGACCCAGGATAATCAAAGCATCATTCAGAACAAAGAAGCAAGGGATCACAATGAACGTTATCCAATGTTATGCACCCACCAATGATAGCAACGACGATGATAAAGATCAGTTCTATGAAAGGCTGCAATCAATTATAGCAAAGTGCTCACGAAAGGACCTCACCATCCTTATGGGAGATCTAAATGCTAAAGTTGGAGTGGACAACACAGGATATGAAGATGTAATTGGACGACATGGACTAGGAGAGAGAAATGAAAATGGGGAGAGACTTGCAAACCTATGTGCTTTCAACAAATTGGTTATAGGCGGCACAATATTCCCACACAAACGCATACACACAGCTACATGGATCTCACCGGACCACACCACAGAGAACCAGATTGATCACATCTGTATCAACAAAAAATTCCGAAGATCAATGGAAGATGTGAGAACCCGGAGAGGAGCTCACATAGCTTCAGATCACCACCTGGTTGTGGCCAAGATGAGACTGAAGCTAAAGAAAGACTGGACAACTGGACAAACAGCACTACAAAGGTTTAATACAGCCTTCCTTCGAGATACTGACAAACTCCATGAATTCAAGATAACTCTCAACAACAGGTTCCAAGCTCTACAGGATCTACTGAAAGAACAAGAAACTACTTTGGAGGACAACTGGAAAGGGATAAAAGAAGCACTAACTTCAACGTGTCAGGAGGTTCTTGGTCCTAAGAAGCACCATCACAAGGAATGGATCTCTATGGGGACCCTGGACAAACTTCAAGAAAGGAAGAACAAGAAACTAGCAATTAACAACAGCCGAACACGAGCAGAGAAAGTCAAAGCACAAGCAGACTACGCAGAAGCAAACAGAGAAGTGAAGAAAAGCATTAAAGCCGACAAGCAGAAATACATGGGAGAACTAGCAACGGCGGCGGAAAAAGCTGCAAGAGAAGGGAATATGAAACAACTATATGATACAACGAAGAAATTGGCAGGGAGATATAGCAAACCAGAGAGACCAGTCAAAGACAAAGAAGGAAAGACAATCACTGAGATTCAGGAACAGAGGAAAAGATGGGCAGAATACTTTGAGGAACTGCTGAATAGACCAGCCCCATCGAATCCACCGAACATCGAAGCAGCCCACACTGACCTTCCAATAGATGTCACTCCACCAACGATCGAAGAAGTCAAGATGGCCATCAGACAAATCAAAAGTGGGAAGGCGGCAGGACCTGACAATATACCAGCTGAAGCACTGAAGTCAGACATTGAAATAACTGCAAACATGCTTCACCTTCTATTCAAAAAGATTTGGGAAGAGGAACAAGTGCCAACGGACTGGAAAGAAGGATATCTCATCAAGATACCAAAGAAAGGAGATCTGAGCCAATGTGAGAACTACAGAGGCATCAGTTTGTTATCAGTACCAGGAAAAGTTTTCAACAGAGTGCTGCTGAATCGGATGAAAGACGCAGTAGACGCCGAACTTAGGGATCATCAGGCTGGATTCCGTAAGGATCGGTCGTGCACAGACCAGATTGCGACACTACGGATCATCGTTGAACAATCAGTTGAGTGGAACTCATCACTATACGTCAACTTCATTGACTATGAGAAGGCGTTTGACAGCGTGGACAGGAGAACATTATGGAAACTTCTTCGACACTATGGAGTTCCTCAGAAGATCGTCAACATTATCCAAAACTCATACGATGGATTACAGTGCAAAGTGGTGCATGGAGGACAGCTGACAGATGCATTTCCAGTAAGGACCGGAGTCAGACAAGGCTGTCTACTCTCCCCATTCCTCTTCCTTCTAGTGATTGACTGGATTATGAAGAATTCGACATCTGAAGGGAAATACGGAATACAATGGACTTCTCAGAATCAATTAGATTATTTGGACTTCGCAGATGACCTAGCCCTCCTCTCTCATACACACGACCAAATGCAGATGAAGACAGCAAATGTAGCAGCAGCCTCCGCATCGATAGGCCTCCACATTCACAAAGGAAAAAGCAAGATTCTCAAATGCAACACGGAGAACACCGACCCAATCACACTTGATGGCGAAACTCTGGAAGAGGTGGAAACATTCAAGTACCTGGGGAGCATCGTTGATAAACAAGGAGGATCGGATGCAGATGTAAAGGCAAGGATTGGCAAAGCAAGGGCAGCATTTCTACAATTGAAGAACATATGGAACTCAAAACAACTCTCAACCAATTTCAAGGTGAGAATCTTTAATACGAACGTCAAGACAGTCCTACTGTATGGAGCTGAAACGTGGAGAACTACTACGGCCATCATCAGGAAGGTACAAGTATTTATAAACAGTTGTCTACGCAAAATACTCAACATCCATTGGCCGGATACTATCAGCAACAGCGTTTTATGGGAGAGGACAAACCAGCTTCCAGCTAAAGAGGAAATAAGGAAAAGACGTTGGAAGTGGATCGGATATACATTAAGGAAATCACCAATGTGCATCACGACTCAATCCCTAACTTGAAATCCGGAAGGGAAGCGGAAAAGAGGAAGGCCAAAGAACACACTACGCCGGGAAATAGAAGCCGATATGAAAAGGATGAATAGCAACTGGAAAGAACTGGAAAGGAAGGCTCAGGACAGAGTTGGATGGAGAATGCTGGTGAGCGGCCTATGCTCCTCGACGAGGGGTAACAGGCGTAAGTAGTAAGTAAGTATGCTTCAGACTTAATACCATTTTTAGTTAAACGAAAATACATTGTAAAGATGCAAATTCGCAATTAACACATTTGACATGATTTTAGTTTCATAAACAATGAAGCAATATTATACCTGAATTAACTTTTGAAGTCGTTCATCCAAGTCTTCCCAGGTCATTTCATCCAACAGTCCGGTGCAACCAATCTTGAATGATCGAATACAATTTATTGGTGTATCCTCAGAGTTATCGTTTGCGGCTGATTGATCACGACATTGACTTATGTTTGAAATCTTATCTAAGTTTCTGTAACATATACTTTCAGTATGAACAAATACTTGAACGAATTGGCATGAATCTCGAAAATGATGAGTTGATAAGTCTAGAATCAGAAAAAACCTAATACTGATGGAGACAATGATATGCAAAACAATATCAATGAAAAACAAATAAAAACTAATAAAATTTTTGTCGTCCAAGTTCGGACGAATACCACATTCTTAGGTCCGCGTGGTAAGTAATTGAAACTTTATTCATTTAGAAAGTTTAGTTACAGTGTTAATACCAATTACCTTTAGAGCGAAATGTGAATATGACTCACAGGGAGATATTTGAGTAAATAACCGTCTAGAAGGCAACATACTTCTCATATACTAAGACATAAGTGCAAATATTAAACAGTAATACATTTCATATATACAGTAACTGAAAGTCAAAAACTAAGTAGTGTATATTTGGCTAAATCTAGTCTTTTCGAATCCCCTATCTATATAGTATATTTCGATTTTAAACTGTCGTTGAAGTTGGTACATAATAAGTGTCAATATGAGTTTTTTCCTTTTTATAATGTGAAACGGTGATCTGTTGAATCCAGTCATACGGAGTTGTATTTGACTTTCAAACTTGGTCTAGATCCTCCTTGAGCAATCAAATTAAACACTTATGGAAGTAACTTTCTCTGAAAATAAGTTACAGCCTCTGCATATTCACATATAGTCGAATGCTATTTGTGTGCATTAGACGACAAAAGCATGAATGGAGACTGTTCTAACCGTTCTTTAATGTTCTGTTTGTTCTAATGAATGAAATCACTAAAAAAAAGTTTCCTACAGTAACATTGGTAATCCATTCTCTATTTCACCTTTGCTTAATTCTTTCAGTGGTTATAAGCTGTGAAAGGCATAGTCTTGAACTAAGTAAAACATGGTGAACAATATGACCAAAGTAAATTTCAGAATAACTCCGCCTATAGTTCTTATATAGTTACTACCGGTCCCAAGCCTGGGTAAAGGAGGAGGGTTGGGCATGGGGCTAGCAACCTCATCCCATAGAAAAACTAACTCGCTAAAAAACGCTAACCAGAAATTTGAGAATAAAAACCAGGATAATTCTTTGAATGGTTTGATTGGCTAAGTAGTTATAAACATGTGATGAAAATGGTGTGTGACGCGAATTCTAACCACTGTCTAACTATAAGTTGGAGATGTACGCAAACATAAAATGTGTCAATTAGGGATTCCTGTTGATTGTATTTACCAATACAGAGCTGATTAACGATTGTCTATTATTTTTATTATCATTAATTCAAAGAATTCAGTTTGAGATGACTATATAACAAAGTTAACTCCCAGTTACGTTTCTTTCTATAAACAGTATAACAATGTACTGGATAACTGAAATTAGTACTGATCTAGAAAAAACTGACTTGAATTCTTTTTAGTTTGTATTGAAGTTAATCATACTGAAATGTTTAGTTTTTAAATGTAAAATAGGTTTACTAAGGAGATTATGCAATAATTCTCTTTCAATGTGCACATAGGATTATTATTCACTTGTTTATGCATTATTTTATACTGTTATTGCTCCTAAAAACGCATAGTTATCTAAAATTCCTAATGCATCTACTGGAAATATCAGTTTACAGACATACAAACTCCAGCTGACACAGACATTTATCTACAAAAGCTACGCATCTTATATTATAAACATACAATAATGTTCTCCTGTTTGTTTATATAATCAAAGATTTAATTTTTTTTTGTTTTCATGGTTTAGATTTGTGTTATACGAACGAGAATAGTGCAACGATTTAGAGAAAGTTGAGATTGATATATTTTTGCAGTAGTGAATGTGGATGCATTTCATAATGAACATGACGCCGCTTTAAAAATGAAAGTGATGCCATTACATCAGTATTATATTTCCATTCATGTAGAAGTTACACGTTATGATTCCGAGTTATGGAAATATTTATCAAACTATAAGGCAAATGCCATTGTCACTATGGTGGGAATAACTGTATTCATCAACTTGCAGCATTCACTGAGCTAATCAAACATTTATGAACAAAAGATGATTATATCTTTCAAGTGTGGCGTCTATTGTTTTATGGTCGTAAAACTTAACGGCTATCTTAAGGAATGAATAATGTTTTAGAAAACCCTTTAACTATGTCATCGAGTGACTTTATCACACCAATCTAGGCGATGAATTTATCTACAAATATCTAAATCCTAAACGAACAGTCATTACTTTTTTCAGTTTTATAGATTATTTTTGCAAAGTGAAAATAATACGTTCCTAGGGGTGACTATTATTGTAAATGAAAGTTGTATATACTAATCACACTTTTATAGGAATATAATTAAGTGCGAGTATATATATATATATATATATATATATATATATATATATATATATATCATCTGTTCAATCCTCTCAATTTATATGGGAAGATTTGGAAATGAATGCATAATTTTGTAGATAGTGAACAGCATATAATATCTGTAAGAATAAACATTTCATCGAAAGATTGCTGGAAACAACGGTATTACCGACAAATTTTTATGTTTTCTGTAAAGGTTTTTAAGCTACAACCGAAGAACAACGCCTTATGAGATTTCTGTCATTGACTGCATAATAAACTGAAATAATCTAGATAACAGTGCATCATTTTAGAACAATTTTTGGTAAGTTCTAAGTAACGTTTATCGGCATTTGTGGCTAGCTATTTTTACTTATAATTTTATCAATCACGTGTCATTATTTATTCAATGTAAACAAGACAGAACATACCATATAGAGAAACTTTCTTCTCTAATTTCACAGTGTATAATTCGTTGCGCAGCAGTTCGTCTGGATTATATTTTAATATAATCTCTTGTAGTTTTTTATTTCTGGCTTCAAGTAAATCCATTTGCCAGCGCATTCGACTAACTGTTAGATGTAATCTATCCAGTTGTTGTTCACATTGTAATTTTTGATTATTCGCAGTAACTTGATCATGCACAGTAGGTTGTAGACTAGGGAAGAGTTAAAAATTAATTTATTGAACAATAATTTGAGATTAAGAGTCATATAGATGAACTTGATGATTAAAAATAATTGTGGAAGAATAATGAATTATAAGGTTGGTACTTCGAGAAGAAAACCATGAAGATCTATTTTAAAAAGGAGGAATATTATGAATTAAATAGTAATTGTTTTGATTTCAAAAGCATAATCCTGTTATTGAGTATAATGTTTATTGGGTCAGGAGCTAGCTACTACGTGGCTTTAAATAGCTCAGCAAAATGACTCAAACAGTGGTAAGTGTTTGCTTCCTTACAAATGAAAAAAAACAACATAAAAATCAGGTGCATAAATTGCTAAATTAAAATTAAGCTTACAGCTAACCTAATTGAAATTCGATAGAAATCAATACAGCTAACAGAGATGTATATTAGCAATACTGAATGTTATAACTGACATAAGATTGTCCTTGTAGTGTTAACATCCAAGAAGACTCAAACTGTCTGGTAAGATACTGAAACTACAAAAGATTTTTTGAGACGATTTACTGAAAGCAGTATTTTTTTAACAAAAATTTTGAGATTTCCAACTTTTGGTTACTGCATGTTTCATCTAAACTGAATCATTTACTTATTACTGACATAAATCTATCATTCTTGCAATTATATATCCTGAGTTCTTATCTACTCATTCTGATGATACAACAGATTAAAGTATTTTCATAGTTGAAATCATGAGTCAATTGAAGCTAGATCATCATGGAAAACCTGGAAGCACTTGAGGGCCGCAAGGTGGGATCGTGGACGCGCACTGCTGAGGAGTCCCATAATAGGACGAAACGGCCGTCCAGAGCTTCCAGGTTTTCCATGGTGTTCTAGCTTCAATTGACTCATGATTTCAACTATGAAAATACTGAAATCTCCACAAAACCTCTTCAGATTAAAGTATGTTGATGTTGAAATTCATAAATGAAAGTGATATATTTTCTATAGGTTTCCTCGAAATCGATATACCATTAGCTAAAGACAACATTTCATCTTTATTATTTTTATCAAAATGCATTACAATATACTGAATATGTTATTTGTTTAATCAACCACTTTTTATATTTTTGTTTGCTCTCCGTCCATGAGATTCATTGTTCCACTAACAGATAATGGTAACTAGAATGATTTTATATGCAAATTCCACACCAGGTGAATGAAGTGATTATAAAAACATATGAAGTTGATAATTGTTTGGTAATACGGATTTAGCATGTTAAATGTTGTACAGTGACTTAATTGAAGCTAATGTTACATTTACTTTCTTAGAAAATTTTAGATTTACATAAATTCTGTCCTTAGAATATTACATTAACTGGCTGCATAAAGTATAAGCGAAACCATGCAGTTAATAAAGTTGGGTAGCTGATACTGAAGGTTTTGTGTGAAAACTTTATGGGGCTTAACTGAAACTTCAAAAGAAATTTATGTTCACTCACAATCAGACAGTTAAAATGTCAGTATAGAATTAGTGCTTGTTTTATTTACATCTTTCTGATGAATTTCATAAAGTGTACAATTCTTGTTTATTACTTTTCGGTGATTGTTTTTAAATTACCTAAAACACTAATATGTTACTTAACCATTCAGTTTAAAATACGGACGCTAGTAATTTAAATTAAATTTCAAACTATGTGCTAAAAATTGTGAATAGCTACATGAAATTGTAAAACATTCGTTTGATAGGTGCTAGAGTATTCTGTTTAATTAACGTTAAATATGACAAACGTAGAAAATGTATAATAATCAACGTGGACGCTACTCACTTTGTAGTACTGCTGCCATTCATTAAAATTTCTGAATCATTTGGACGTATGTTACTTTTCGCTCTTTTCCTGAAAGCTTTGCTAAAGGATGCGCGTAACTGTAAGTGTGCAACGGAATGAGAAAAGAAACAAAATAATTCTAAGTGCAAACGTAACTTTGTTTAGCAGACAGTAATAATATTTTGTAAGTATTTGGGTTCAACTTTTCAAATTCAGATCAGGGAATTCCACTGAAGTCAACGTTAGGTCTATATTCTACAGATATATTGATAAGTGGATATAGCTAATGGTACAAATGTTTGATTACTGGTCTTGAAATTCTTTACTGTCAAACGAATGGCAGACAAATAATTCATGAATAAAACGCTTAAAAATAAAGATACTTCTAAGAAGTCTTCAGGTTACTTAGTTTTTGTTGACAAATGTTAATTGCTTTCCTTTGGAGATAACAGAAATACGGATTTTTAAAACCCATATATCAGCATGACCGTTATTTCCTGATTGGTTGTTATCGCCTTTGGTTTACTGATTTTCCTGTGTTCCAATGTCAATTTTTGTGTTAGGTGTGCACGGTTGCTGTACTTCAATTTCAACTTTTAATCGAAATATAAAACTATCCTGGAGGTCCAGTTTTCTCTAGGTTCTTATTGGTGTGTGGATTATTAAAGCTAAATTGTCGTGGTGTCGTAAATTGTACTATCGAGTTCACATTAGTTTCTATTTATATTAGAAAAGTTTCAATCGTTTAGAACTAGAAATTAACGTAGGTGAAATTTAATTCCAGTGGTAAGATTCAATAGGGATATCGATTTGCATTATATTTAAATGACAATATTAAGTGATTTAGGTTATTCATTTCTGTCAGTAAATTGGTGAGGCAAATGAAGTGTATAACGCTTAATAAAATATTGAATAACAGTCACATTGTATTGCGAACTAACTTATTAAAAATGTGAGTAAACTCAAAGACTCAACAATCCAATGTTACCCGAGAGCCCTAGGTTTCATTCTATGCACGGTCGTAAACATGCACTTTTAGGCACTTCCAAACTTGAACCAGACACCTCATTAGCACCTAATTTTAAATAGTTATCTAGCTGATATCTGTTTAAAATAAAAACTGTCTTTAAATTGTCTGAAAAATAAGTATAGATACAACTGGAACTGTTTTTTGTTATTATAATTGTAAATGATTACATAAGGCATATGTCTCGTAAATAACGTATGTACAAAAATATTTTAAGGTGTTTGTTCTATTTAGAAGTGATAACTTAGACTGATCCGAACTAAAGAAACTATTCTCAAGCTGTTCAATAGTAGAAAAAATAATTTGAATGTCGAGTAAAATTGACTTCATATTTCTTTTAATGCACATTAAATGGAAACATGTAGGGACAATTTACATGAGCCCTCAAATAATTTTCCGTCAATTTTGACAAATTTTCAGCCACAACTAATACAGACGTCAAAGAGTGGAATTTTCTCTGACATTCATTAAATTAGAATGCTCATTTGTAGATATTTGTTTTGTAAATCAAGAATAATAGAAAGATATTTCTGGGAAATGAGGTCAAATAAACTTTTAAGTGTTCACTATCTTCCTTCTGTTAAGAAGCTTAATGGAAACTCTTGCTAAGAAGTTTTAACTTCCCGAATTGATCCTAGAAATGAGACTGGACATTACTGAAGAATCCAAGGAAGAACAAAATTACAGATGTTTTATTGTCATTTTTATAACATCATTTAAACAATGCTTGGTTATACTCAATTATCAGTGACATAAAACAATGATTGAATAATCCAAACATAAAAAGCTTCATGGTTGAATACTATACATACCCAATGTGAGTGTTTAACATATGATCTCTCGGTATCTAACGCTGATGCACTGCTATCAATTTGACTGGAACATTTGTCGTCAGATTTTGAGTTCGTTTTCTGTTGTTGTTGTGAGTGTATCGAAGGATCCTGACTACCAGCACTTGTTCCGCTCGTAAAACTGTTTAGACTTATTGCATCTTGAAGATCTTTAGACACATTTTTCAGAAGAAAAAACGAACAATCATAATAGTAGAGTTAAAATATATTTTGGGACTGATAAAAGAATCAAATTTTATAGACCTTACACACAAATACTAAACGAGAAGAGATGATATCGACTTCTGTGAAATTATTACCGTCATGTGATAATCACAAGCATAAAAATACACTTTTTTAAATGTATGATCAAACATTTTCAAGCCTTTTAGTTGAGTAGCTCAAGTAAATCGTGTTCAATTGGATGTTTATTTCCACCACGGACTAACCACCTGCCAAGTCATAGAAGATCATGGAGTACATAATTTTAACACATAGGCAGGGAAAACCTACCATATTATATAACCTTGTGAAAATAAAACCTTTGGGCACTCCAGCTCATCCGTTGATTTTATGTTGCTCAGTCGAAATCCAAAATTCATTGTTACAACTTTAGTAAATATCACGACTACTATACAATTAATGTTAGCCTATGATGAAAACCAGCTTCATATTAAACTCAACCACCCTAAAACACCTTTATAAACATTAGTTTTGTAATCATTAGTAATTATATTTGAAAAGATTTACTGGGATTTCATAGAACTTAATGTTTAGTGAAGTTCAAGTATATCATATTACAGTTGTTGACAATGAAAGTTCGTTGTTCTTGATCATGAATTAATGAAAACTACAAATATAAACCGGTTGTTTCCTGTTCAGTCCCCTAAATTCATTGTATACCTTGTAGTATGTGGGTGTATTTAGCCCGATTTTGTTTGGGATCATTGATTTACAATATCCACGAGTACCGAACAAATGTCCTCTTTCTCGCTAATTTCCAGTCTATATTAGTACTTGACAGAAAAATTTTAAAATAAAATTTTCTTCACCTTGTCAGTTTGTAGTGAAATTGACTGTTATTATAGGTTGACACCAAAGAATAAATAGCCTTTTCAACAACCATTCAGCCACTTATTTCCTAAATCTCTAGTATATTTGATAGTCAATTAAATCATAAGCGACAATAAGCGACTTCAAATAGATTTAATAAATAACAAATGGACCAATTTTTGAAAGATACAGCGGGGTTTGAAATTCTTGGGCTTAGTCTCTTATAAAAATTAAAATGTATCCAACTGAGAATTGTCATCTTATTTTTTGTAGTTTTCAAAAACCTGTGGCTTTTGTTGACCTTTGGGAAAACACTTATTTGTATTTTTTTCATTTGCTTCGGTATGCAGTGTGGTCAAGCTAATGATTGTGAATAACAAATTCTCAGATTGTTATAGTATGAATGAAATCACTAATAGCTTCCATGCAAAAAGAGACCCTTACCTGCATTATTCATATATCGATTTATACAAGTCATCCTACTAAACAGTCATCATTAAATAACAAACGATCACTTAGACTTGATGAGTTTTTCCAAAACTCAAAACTTTCTTCAGATAAATTAAACTTTACTTTTCTTTAAACCGTTCCACATTTTGCAGCAACAAATGATTAAGATTTAAACAACTTAAAAAACACTAAACTCATATTAAAATTACCTTGATACATAGCATCAGGAAGCGTTCGACAAGAAGTTGATCTTGGCGGTTTGGGTTGAAAATGGCTCGGAGAGCTGGCCAAAGATTTACTATTTATATCATCTCCACGAAGCTGATTTATAATACTTTGTAGCTCGTGTATTTCTGAATTCTATGATAGTAAAAGTTTGGCACGTGTAAAAACAAAAAATTCATCAGGAACTGTGGTTGAGTATCAAGTGAATATGATTGATGTTTATTGTTCCTCAACATAAAATATAAGACTAAAAAGTTTATTTGAATTAATTTCAACATTTCCCTTTCTTGAAATAGGATATTAATTTGATAAACCCTATTATTTTAAGTGCAAATTTAAAAGCATCATCAGATTTATTTCAAAATAACCTGTCATAAATTTCTGGAATGACTAAATGGAAATAGTCAGTCTGTTATTTCTTTAAAAACTGAGAATATGTAGTCGTAGTGTTTTAACAATAATGACAATCTTTTTATACGATTCACCATAGGATTCTTGGTCAGAAATTTTTCATAAAACGTTTCGAAAGCTATGTCTAATTGAAAAAGATACTTAAGTATCTTTAACATGAGTATCAGAGAAAATATTATGATAAAAAGGCCATTTACAACGGCAATTTAACAGCAATTTATCTTCAACCGAAAATATGAAAAGCCTGTCTTACTTCTAAAAATGTTCGTTTCAATAAATAAACATAGAGCTATTACTGGTTTGCTCACTTTAATTTACGTGCATGTTAAATCACATTGATTATTTGGTAGCTTTCTTATTATCCATATTGAGTATGCATGTATCAAGTAAAACATATGTTGGACAAATTCCCTGGGTATTGTTCGTTTGAATCTTTCCATTGGTGTTTAGAACTGCAATTGATCATTCTCTTATCGGCAGTCTTAGTGAATTTAAATTTCACCCCATTGCACAAGTAAATGGCTATCAGAACTCAGTAGTTTAGGGAATAACGCGATGACGTTTGACGCGAACGATAATGGATTCGAGTCCCAGAGTGATCCAGATGACCAGTCCCAAATAGGACGAAACGCGCGTCCTAGATTCCACTGCTAGCCACTATCCATCTTTGCTTATATATTGGACAGTTTATAGGACAACATAAACTGCAAGCATTAAGATCAAACGTATTGCAAATGAGCTCAATAATTCATCTTCAATAAAAAATTCATATACCAATTTTTAAGCTAAATGATTTTGTAGTGCTAGTGTGTACTTCGAAAGTGGTCCCTATCATTCGTTGATGTTAGTTGAGACGCTATTTTAAAATGCAAAGTACTAAACAACTGATATATTATATTTGAGCGTCGAGTGCAAAAAATGATGATTTCTGGTATTTAGTGTTTTTCCACATAATATCATTTTGTGTTCAAATTTCCAACCAAATTCAATAATTTAATATACATTAATGAGTTCACTTTTACAAGTTCTACATAAGATCTTCGTTGTATCTTATTTCAAATGATCAATCATGCATTGCTTTACTTACGACTAAATTAAACGATTCGTTAGGTTACACTCTGTTATATATTGGAAGGTACACTTTTTAATAGTTCACTAATTCGTCCATCCAAACTGTTTTAAAAAATATAGATAATTAATACCAATAACATGTTTCCTACGTAAACAACGTTAGTACATCACAATTTTAACAAGTTCTTTTATGCTACTGATAATTAGGTGTCAAAAAACGTTTGCTTTTATTTAAACAGAAAATTTTATTGATTTAGGTGTCACAAAAATATTATACCAATGTTCAATACTTCAATAAAACTTTCATGCCTACAATCGCTTATCGGAAAGCTCATGACCATGGGTAACTGAAACCACATCTATAACGTTAAATTTTAGATGTTGTATAGATAAAAAAATTTTACGTTAAAACATTTTTTTCAGTAAAGGTTGATTAACTTTTTTAGAAAAAAATGCAAAACCTTTCAAAAGCTATTATATTATAACCTTTAAAACTATAATTCTTGAATTATATGGAGCAGGATTGGAACCGTATCCATTTCGCTTAGGTAAATATTAACTTCCCTGTTGACAGTATTTTCTGTCAAGTGTTCATCATTTCCAAACCATCAACAAATGGACTTAGAATCGAAGGGTTTCCATAAAAAGTTTTAAAATCCCTTTATTAACAGGTAACACCATTCCTCTGATTAGAGAATATTATTTTGGTATAATTTCAGTTATTGACCATCTCTTTGCTAATTAGGCGGTAATGATCTGTTTAATAATGGTGAGACTATTTAATCTTTCTACTCGAATATTATTTCTTCTTTTTGATAACAATTTAAACAATTTAAAAAGCCCCTATCTATATTTTTCTTACTTTACTTGGGTCGAAGATAATACTCCGCAAAACAATAAAACTGGCACCGAACACTTGAATAACAAAGAACGTCAACTAGTTAACAAGAATTTTGTTCTCTTTGAAATAATTAAAACATAATTCTACTCTGAACATACCTTGAAGTTGTCCAAGGCTTGAAGTTGTTCGATGCGAACTACCATACTTTCCATAGTCTCCTCTAAAGTTTCAATTTTGTTATCCTATCGAAGAAATGATTGAAACATAAAGACTACAAAACAGTGCGGTTCGATGCATTAGAAAAGAGAAAATGGAGATGGAAGTTTATGAATAATAACTTTGGCAGTGAGATTTCTAAGCTAGATAATTTATAAAATAATTTCAGATCTAAATTAATTGTAACCATGTAAATAATTGATTTTTTTAAATTATTTTATTTGTAGGACATATGTATTTATATATTTATATATGGAATTGCTTAAAAATGATTTAAGACATTCCACAGTATGGAAGTAGAAAAAACCGTCGAAAGTTAAAAAAGCGTCTATTCAAGTATGAATGCTTTGCATTCCGTTCATCAGCTCATTTGAAACACACATGGTATACTCATATAATTTCTATGTTATGACTTTGTATAGTTTTAAAGTAATTTTGATCCGAAACGTATTTTAGCGTAGTAATTATAAGAATTAAGGGACACTGGATGTCTCCCCCACCAGTGTTCAGGATCCCTCAGCAGTGTAGACCTCAAAATTAACACAGGATTGAACCCTAGAGTTCAGAATTTTGAAATGAAGACTGTACTTTCAGACTAGAAGGTTGAAATCAATCAAATTGCAATTCCGAATTCAGTCGAATCTCGATCCAATGCCTTCCACATCCTTCGTCATCGAGGTGTTTGAGAAAAGGGGTGTATAATAAATTGTTTGATGTGGAAAATTTATAAATTAGAATGAAACAGATATTCAAGACTACACCTCATATATATATATATATATATATATATATATATATATCATCTGATGAAAATGTCACTGTATTATATTAATTCAGTCTACATTTACTCCCAAATCTATGAGCCCACTTTTTACAATTAACAGTACAACTTAGTTCAAAAACAATCAAAAGCTTATAAACAATAATTACCTTCAGCATTTTTTCAGTCTCACTTTTGTTCCCATAATTCATCTCATTTGAGATGGTAGTTATATTTTCAAATTTTGATGATAAATTTGTTCTACTATTTATCAATACTGTTGAATTATTCTCATATAATTCATTATCAGATAAACCTTTATCTGACATAATATATTTACTTCTATTAAGCGATCGGATAATGTGTTTTTTCTCATTAAAATATGGTTTCTTCAATGATCTTGGTGAGGTTTGTTTAACTGGTTTATGACAATTTTTACTTAAAAAGATTTTGCTATTATTATTACTAATAGTATTATTATATGTTATAGACTTTTGCCTTGTAGATGCCAATTCTTGTCTAACCATACGTTCTGTTTCAATTAATCGTTTAGGTCTTAGATCGTAATTTGATATTGCTGTATTTTGAACATGACCTGGTAATAATTTAGGACCTTTACCTGTTTCTTGTGCAGTTCTCAACAGAACACACGGTGAAGGTAATCTCTGTGAACGATTTCCGTTACCAAATAAAGCGTTTGAGTCAGTTTTATCGATATGATTTGTACAGTGTAGTTCATGATCATTTGATTGTTTATGCAACGATCGTGACTTGCGTTTAATGAATGATGAGTCTTTTGTTAAAGATGTTGACATAAGGTCAGGACAATGTTGATAATTTGCAATGATATTACATCGAATATCATTATATGACGCTGAAATTAAATTATTTGCATTATTTTCAATAGTTCCATAGCTAGCATTTTGTTTAACTTTATGTTCACACGTTAATTGCTCATTTATCTTAATATAAGGTGATATAAATGATTGTACTGATCGCATTGAATCATAATCAGATAATATTTCATCATCAATCAATTCATTATGTCTTAGTGGATCGGAATTTTCGCGTGCCCACCTTTGAGATTCGTTTATTGTTAAATCAACTAACTGACCACGAGACTGCTTTGTTTTAAACATTCTCTGACGGTTGATATCAGACGAAGCGATTGTATGTTTTTGTTCATTTATATTAGAATTTTCTGAATAATTTTCACAATCTATGCCACTATACCAATCAGACTTGATCTTATCAGTGTTGTTACTAGTGTTATCATTGCTATGAATTTCATCTCCATTGGTATTCGGTTTACAACTATGTTCAGATTCTGATTTTATCAAGAGATTAGATACTAATGGTTCATAGTGTGATTTTGTGTATGAATAAAAATTTGGATAAAATCTCTCCATTATTAAAAGTATTATTTAATTAAGTTTTTTATAAATCTGTAAATGGCGTAATCCGTTGTGGAACGTAGTAGAGTACATTTAACCTAATTATGTTATACACTGTTCATGTAAAAAGATGGGTAGATTGGACAATTTTCCTAACTAGTAATCACCTAAATATCATGGTAAGCACAGTTAGACTTTTTTGTGTGTTTAGACGGCTGCATATGTCCATGATTGTGTAACCATTCGTATTTTATTCAATATATTACATATTCATTACCTTTTTCCTTATCAACCAATGAATGAACGGCCTGCTAAAATTGGTCAGTCAACTTCTACTCTTTTCTTTCCTGGTCTGTTTTTTTCATTTTAATAGAGTGCAAAATTATGTATTTCATCATAAATGTGTTTTATATGTTTAAAACTCTTATATCAACCGTTCGTTCACCCAAACAACCAGTCAGTCAGTCCAGTAATCAGTAAAATAGTATTATCATATATCTACCATTAGTATGTCATTTTTTATTCTTTTTTTCAACTGAACAACATATTAGTTTGTATCCTTTAAAGTGATTCAGGGTGAATGCACCTAAAAGCTATTTTTAGTAAATGTGAAATTGACTAATGTTTATGTTAACTTATACTGAATAAACTCTATTCCCAGTAAGTATAGATAGTCGTGAAGATAATGCTTTTTTTGGACATGTTTCTGTCCTGGCACGTGGTTTGACCATAATGATATTTTATACTTGTTTTTAAATACTACGTACCAAGTGTTGTTAAAATATTCTAAATTAATGTGACCAAAATGTTCAAGTTGTAATTCAATATAACTCTGTCGTAGTTTAGAGATGGAATTGTGTATCTGATATTCAGAACTTATATGTGTTTATGAATTAATAAAGGGATTCATCTTTGTTTGAGAGAGAGGTTTGTCACTGATTAAAATCAATTAGACTAGATAAGTGCATCTATATTCTATGAACTTATTTTTCAATTTAGGCTAAATCTCACTGGTGAAACCAGTAAAAGTTAATTATTAGATTTCAACTCAATACACGGGTATAACTGTCCTGTCCCTAATACCTGAAGATCTTGGGACTGATTGCGTATGAGGTATTGGGTATGAATAGACTATCAAGAAATAACTGTATTGACCTCCATGATTTTCAATGATTTTCTGGATGACATTCAATCTTGAAGACATCGTCTTCAAGGTATAATAAACAAAAATGAAGATATAGGTGGAATTTCTTAAATTTTGCTTTTGGAGCAATATATATTTGATGGATGTTTCTATTAGTACCTTAACCTATATGCCCTAAAATGTAATAAAGAACTTAAAAAAATCATCTGTTTATATCAATAACAGTGTTAATACTATTTTTTGATGCTTTATGATTACGCAGCACTGTTGCACTACTTTAAACTATACGAAGATTAGAAATAAACAGGTAAAGCATACTATTAATCACATCGAATATGAATAATACCAGCTGAGGAAATTACACAACAATCATTTAGTTTAATCAACTGTGTAAATGAGAAAAATATATTATTTAAACAAAGCTAAGATAGTTCTTCAGAAAGTGATTCAGTAAGATTACTGCAAAAGAGTCTCATCTACTTACACTTAGCTTCAAAGTATTACAAGACATGTCTTGTTATTGAGGGTAAATTTGCTTTCAAGAAACTATTATCTGATTGAAAATTTGTTTGTCTATAGATTGTCACGGAGTTTATGGAATTTGTCCTAATTAACATTAACTGGAGAATTATTGAGCCCTGAACAGTTATTTCATGATAGTTTTGGACATAAGCAGTGTGCATCAACGACTTGACATAAGGATTCAAACTTATGTCTTCAGGTCAAGTGACCAGTATTTCTGAATGACCAACTAGTATCGTGCTGATCCCAGAACTCGAAGATTTTAGCTGGAGTCATGTATGTTTTTTCTGTAAGGTCATCATTATGGTGTTTGAAATTATAATAGAACAAGTTTCAGGCGTTTTGTGTCTTTTGCTGGTTCTTCATATGAAATCAATTTGTAATAAAAATTGCTTGCCAAACCAAAATCGTCGCTAAACTAAGTGAGCAAAGATAAGTTGAAAAATATATGGTGCAATGTTAGCATAAGGAAATCTACTAAATCTTACCTTCACTGATAAATGACCCGATAGCACAGCGATATGATCTTGTAGACGCCTAGTTTCTTGACGAAAATTTTCAATCTACAATTAAAATTGCAAGTTTATATATATATGGAAGGTGAATTTATTACAAAGACGTTTCCTTCTTTATTTTGGTTATTATTTATCACATTTCCACGCTTGTAACCTTGTGGAAATATCAGTAACATTAAAAATACTTAAATACTGGGGTTATGAATGCATGAGTATAAAAATGGTTTAAAGCAACACATCAATATATGCTCCTCATTATATTCATGTCACATTTTCTTGTCATTCAACTCATAAATGGTGTTTCAGTTAAAAGCATCTTGACAATGATCACCAGATAATATAGTACAAGAGAAATGCAGTTGTCACCAAGGGCTAAATAGTATTTCACTGATAACCCATCAGTTATCGATTAGTGAAATATAATTTTATAGCTTAAAACAATCTGACGTTTTGGATGATTCAAGAAAGTTGACATGAATCTCTAGACCTAGTTTCCTTTTTATTTCTCATTAGCCAATCTTAGAATGACCGGTACACTCATGAAGATCTTAAATTTCAGTTAACTTCAATACCATTCAAATTCGCTAAAGATGATCCAACGTAAGGAAGAACTAAAGTGTATGTTCTTAAATCAAGAAATTATTTCTATTTTACCATATTTCTTGTTTTAAGAAATGCTTGACACAAAACTTCAAGTTTTCTTATGAATTCTTTAAAAATACACAGTAAACTAATGAATATTTGTTTTTCACGCAAACTGATGTTTTCCAGGTGCATGTTGGCAATGTGTAGCACCATATCCAAATTAACTGTGTTATCTCAAGGTAATACCTGTATACACTTTTTGATGTTGGTTTATTAAAATTCGATATAATAACAGAGTATTTATATAGAAGAAGAATAACATACTTTTGTCTGAACTGTATACATTTTAATCAAAATGAATTAGAAAGTAATCATATGATGAAAGACATAAATGTCATCTAATTTGTACAAGCATATTAACTTGTATATATGCATTTATATTGTCAGTCCATGGCTGCACGCAAATTTATATTAGCAGTATTATAGTACTTATTTTACATATTGTACAAAAAGAATTGAAGTTTATACAGAAGGAGATCTAATAATCACATACAGTTTCGTCTTTCAGACTCCAGAGCCTGCCTATTGTGTGGTGATTTAACGGGCTACCTAGTTATTTAAAGCATCATCGAAAGTGGTTCGATCTTGATACAGAGTATACTAATGAAAATCATACCTGTACACAAAGAGTTACATGAATTGTATACAGTTTGAATATAAGTTACTCATTCAAATTGTTTCGACCACCTAAACTGAAATGTCTGGAATAGGATGGAATATAACGCTGGTGTTGTAATGCTGTGACTTTTAATTTTGATTCGATAAATAATTAACATCATATGTCACAAAAGATTATTTCACTAAAATACTGAAATAAAAGCCCTCATTCTCCCAGTATTCTTCAATTATCTATGTAATAAACTAAATTTATGATTACATCATACTAATGATGAAAACCAGGATATAAACTCACCATTAAATCGGCACTTTTTATTGATGAGCAATTAAGAACCGAGGCAGCACCTGAAAGAGATAAATTATGGATTTATTTGAAATCACTAAGAACATGAAAACTGACAACTGTTGCTATATAATTCATTTGTACTAAGTAGGCACATTATATTCTTAGTGTGACGTAATGTCGTACTGTTTATTTTCAGTAGTATAGAATCTAGTCAAAAATTGACCATTCTTTATCTGACAGATGACCTTTAAGCATCAATCTAATCATGAAATCCCTAGAATTGTGCTTAAATTCAACTTTATTTATTTTTGGCGGAACATTATATAAACAGAAAAACCGAGTATCGTTTGGATCCCCCGTGTCTCCGATTGTAATAAAACTGTTTATGTCCTATATAAAATCAAATATCTTCACCAGTGACATTAAACCATGAATTGGGCTCAAAAAATGTGGATGATACCGTTGTTGTCTTAAAAAAGACTCACCTACAATCTTTTTCCAAACTGACCAACACTCACGAGAATGAAAATGAACACGGTAAGCTACTATTTTTAGACTGCTTAGTTAAAAGAGATCTATGTGGAGCTCTAAATCTAACCATCTACTAAAAACCAGTATAGTCAGATCGTTATATCAATTTCAATTCAGCACATCCATCCAGTGTAAAAATCTCTTTGGCCCTAAATATCTTTGTAACAGCAAACAAGATTATTACATCTGAAGAGGACAAACAATAAAGATGAAAGCATATGATTAACATCTTACAATTTAGTAATCTTCCCACGAAGGTTATCAAAAGTACAACAAAGCGAGACGCGTTAATGTCAAATAATAATCCGAATGAAATACAATGGATTGGCACTTTAGTTTTATCATACTGCCATGGTTTAACAGAAGAAATCCAGAGTCTTTAAACAACACAGAATTGAAGCATACTACAAAACAACTAACACCCTTTAAAATGCTTTAGTTCGCATAGAAGAAAAAAAATCCCCTTTATGTCAACACGGAATAGCGTCTACAAATTAGAATGTGTCGATTGTAATGGCTTCTATATTGAAGAGTAATCTCGTGAAATCGTGGCTCGACCCAAAGAATATCTTAAGTACACAAAAAGCCGCCTAATAATCCTGTAGAACTGAAAAGACTCCAAATTAAATCGGCAGAAGCAGTCTATGACATTCTCAATAACCATCAAGTCAATGTTAAAAATATCAAAATAATACAAAAAGGTTATTGCAACTGCAAAGAAAGACGAGTAGCTGAAGTGTTCCATATATTGTTTAATTCTACTGACCTCAATCGAAAAGAAGGTCCTACTATACATATGACTTGGACCACCTATTTGAGCTACCATATCTGATTCTATTCACATCTCACACCATTAACGTACGTACAAATTAAACTCTATCCTTTCACATCACAAATGTCACATTTTCCATCCATTAACATACACACACAAATACACAAACATGTCTCACATAAATCACTTTGATCGGAATGACATGACATTGACTTAGTCTGACCTGTTTTTTTTTATTGATAGCACCAAATATTCTTGCTTTGTACCTTTGTTATATTTGAACATGGTTTAATTTGATTTGTCTATTTATTATCTGAAGAAGTATCCAACACTGAGTCACGAAACTTTCGATAATTTGAAAAATTAATCTTTCTACTCATTGAGATATTATAATTATATTTTTTTTGTTAAAGTTAACAAGTTATTGATGTCAGTTCTGGAAATTAATTCACATCAAGCAGAATTATGATGTCGATGACCCTAATTTAAGTGCATATGTCTTTTACATAAGTGATAATTACGAACTGATGTAGATGAAAAACAATGTTTTTTAGATTCATTATACAGCACTAAGTATTCGTTCATCATGTTGTTATAATTCGAAGGTTTGTACACCTGGTTGTAAAATGTGAGTCATTAGTAAGGTGAATAAGATCAGGATTCGAAAACTATTTTCCCTATTTTAACTATCAGTGTCACTTTCTGTAAAGTATCATGAACAGTTAGTTTTGATTGGCATTGCAGAAAAATTTGATTGTTTAATTAAACTAGAATAAATTTTAATCACAGCACAGAATTGGAAATTAGCTACTTATCAACGTTGAGTTTACGTCACTTTTATTGAGATTGAAAGCAAACAGTTTTCCATATCACTTATATGTATAGTTTAAGACTATTCACTTGAATCATGTGTCCAACCTGAAGTCTGAAATTCGATATTGGAGCCTCTCTCCTTAATCTAGCACTTCACTTTCGCAAAACAGACTAATTTTCTGTTGCATTCTATTTTTCTTGAAGTATCTTTAAACTCTCAATCTATTTATTGTTTGGGAAAATTTAGTTTTTTGCATTATGTAAAACAGTACTTTGATGCATTACACACAAGCTGAAGTATCCTGGGTTAATGAAACTAACTTATGGGAAATAGAAAAGACAACTAAAATAAAAATCTTGGTAGCCTCAGCATATCTATCTCTAAACTGACGTAAATATGCAATTTGATATCCCCCTCAATTTTTCCCAACGCAACTATATTTTGGCTAGTTCGCCTTCATACTAGTACCATTTAGCTGTTATCTTTATTCTCCTCTTCTATATCTCCAAAAATTTTAAAAACCTTAATTCGTTTTGTTTTGTAACAAATCAGTCACTGATGTAAACCTGTTTGTTCATACGACTTAAGTAAATAGCTATGCCAAGTAGATTACTGAAAGGGATCAAACCTTCATTAGACTCTCTCACGAAAGTTTAGAAAGTATCAATATGCTACATGATTTTCATTAACTTGAAGAGAATGCTAAATGTTTATATGAAAACATTTATCATTTAAATCGCCATTTATTAATTTACCATTTGCTTTGCATTGATCTAATTCAGAGTATGTATTGTGTATTCCTTTTCTCTGGCCTTCATAATTTGAAGCACCAGATTTCGCAGTTATATCGTTCAGTGAACCCACATTGACCATCATGGATGCAGTTGGATAGGGCAGTTTAATTTGACTAAGTGGCCCTGTACCTATAGTGCAGTTTGTAACTGGAAGAGAGGTTTTGTTAATTGCTTCGTGGTGATTACTAGAATGTCTCAGTCGACCTTTGTTTTCACCCTGAACAAGATTCTGTAGACTACAGAGTCTTGGCCATTTTATTTCTTGTATTTGCATCATACCATCGATTTTTGAAGTGCATTGTGAAGGGCTTGAAAGTTCATGCTTCTTCAGGTTTAGGTTACTAGGGGCAAATAAACGTTTTTGATTTTCGTCCAACACATTCCTAAAAGGAGCTGGTTGTGTAGACATTATTGGGGCTACGGAAGCGATAGGAAGTTTGCAGTTGTTAGGATCAGATAACGGTTTGAACTTGCGCTGAGATGAAAATATGGCTTCTGTATCCGAAAAGTAACCAGGCTCTAAACACTTTCCCGAGGAAACCGCATTGTTAGCCAATGAAGTATTAGGATTTATAATATTCACAAACGCACCCGATACTTGATCTGGTATAGCTTCTGATAGTTTTTTGTCTAATTCCAGGGCAATTTCCGCTTCCGTCAAACTTTCACGTTTTGGTATAGGTAGTATTAATTCTAGTGCAGCATATTCACTTTCAACATCAGAGAAGTAATTCTGATCCCACGAATTATCTTCTAAACATGGATCACAACTCAGTTTAGAAAGGGATGACAATAGTAAGTCGGGATCATTTGTGAAGTCAGTCGGCATATGGTATGGATTCTCTGCTCCTACACCCGGTAAACTTTTTGACAAGAGAGATATTTCAGGTTCACTAGTAACTACGGCTGATTTAATTGGTTTAATATCAAATGATTTCTTCTGACCACTAACTGGTTTTTCTGATGTGAATAGGCTGAAAAACTCCCTGGGTCTTGGAATAACTCCACTTTGGCTGCACGGTTTAAAGTAACTGAGATAAGAAAGAATAAACTGAATGAAAAACACATCCAAACAATTTTCCCTTGAAATACAAACAGAAAACTAGAAAGTAAACAGAAAAATATATCAATATAGTGAGGACGTCATTTCAAATTTTTTATAATGCTCTATTTAATTTGTTTACCTAATGTGAGACTTTTTTAGATAATCCTAATTGACTAATAGATTTAATTAAGTCATACTTTATACCTCTTAGTATGATCTATGATTCAGAGACAGAATTTGACTGACTGTAAGAACCAGAAAGAGAAGAGATGAGTGGAACTTCGTAACCAATTATTGTAAATATGTTACTTCTGAAGCAGATCAGTAGAATGGCAGTAGCTCAATGTCAAACTTTCAGGTGACTTGAATCCAGGGGAAAGCGCAAAGTTCCCCAAAACTGAAGATAAAATTTGTTGACTATAATCAATTAATCAAGTTCCAAGGTCGTCGGGTGAATATTACTGATAGAGTAAAATCCCAAGAGGTAGTTGGATAAAGTGGATTATTTACAGTGTAATTTCTGAGATCCAAGTTCACTAAATAGTCACTATTGTTTGGTTTAGCTATGATTTCCAAGGACTATTTATTTCCTGAACGTTGTTTTTTTATGTTTCAATTTGGTTCATTGTGCGTGTGTAAAACGTCGAACTGACTATAGAAGAATTTTATGAGTTGCTTATTGCATAAGTTCTAACTTATAAAGATATTATCTAATAAAATCATTAATATTTTTTTATTGTTGAGGAGATCCGAACCATTTCTAGAAGAAGTCCGTAGAGAACCTGAAAACGCTGGAAAACATTTTATTTAATCAGCAATGAATAGAAGTTTCTCAGAAACATGTAGAATGTGAAGAGTCACATGTTACATTTCCGGTTGGTTAATTACATATCCTGCTACTATATTTAGCATGGTTCCAGAAACTTCTGGAAGCCTAGGGCCATTTGAAATACTATCAATACCCTCGATTTTCTGTAAATAAACTAACCTTAGAGTAAAGCGTTCTTTTCGAATTTTGCGCCTTTTCTCTTGTGTTCAAGTTGCCGTGTAGAATTAGTCTGTTGTTATTAGAAGAGCTTAGGAAGCCGATTCGAGATTTCAGTTGGAAGACTTATCACTTATTAAAAGTATTAGCTGAGATAAGGATAAAGTGTTACAGCTCTTCTCATTGTTGTGATCTAAATGTTCACTAGAACTGTGATTTAAATAGATTAGAATGAACTCTTAGTCATTATATAAAGTTTAAATTTGTTTTGGTCGTACGTTGAATTCTAACCTAACTGCTCTCAATATCTTATCAGTTATCAAATTTTGTTCACTAATTTGATAGTTGTTATTCAATCCATAGTTATAATAACAATTAGTTTAAACTTAAAGACTAGATAAAGCTTTTAAACATTATGAGAGTCCTATTCTACTGCATTTTTGGATTACTTCCTTATTTATTTTCATTAACAATACTGAACACTTATACTCTGAACTATTTTACTCCAACCTGTTTGATGTTTAGTTCTCAATGGTTGGCAAAGTCTTTCTTTCGGTCTAGATGGATGTCAAAAATATAAGTGAAAAAAGTTTTTCTAAATCAAATTAGTTACTCTGTTCAAAATTAGCAGTAGTATATTTTTCGTGTGGACATGAGCTACTCACAAGTAGTAAGTTTTGTTCAAGACAAATAATCATGTGGTGAATTCCAAAAATCTAGTTAGGTAGATCTCATCAATGATCATGACAAGATAAATCTTTACAATTTAAATACATAGAATCATGACGATTAAAAAAATGTAATTTTGCCTTCTTTTTCCGTCATATCACATTTAGGTTAGGCTGATTGAGAAAAGTCGATTATAAGTCACTGAGACTTTAACACTATTCGAAATATTAACCACATAAATCGACTGATATAATATCAGGCTATGAATTCGTGTATGAGGAATTATGAGAACAACTTTAAGGAACTTTGAATACTTATAAATAACTTCATTTTATTGAACAACATTTGGAATGTGGTAATGAGATCTTAGTAACCTCCATACTTTATGCACATTCCATGTACAATAAATTAAAATGCTTAACTTATCTAGAAACATTAAATATGGTGTCTTTTATCGCATACAGGAAGTTAGCAGGCTACATAATTCTAACTATATAATGAAAGGTTATTGAAAAGGACATTCTCCGTTTATATAATAATGTTTTCAATCAGATTGCCTTTAGGATTTTCTCTAATATACATGAATACTTCTTTGTAATTTATTCCATTGTGATTATTGACTCATAAATTGCCTTGATTGTTTTTATATTTTCACGCCAATGTCCATGTTAAAGCCTAATGACCACTGAGTTGAAAACAATTTCGTTCACTTTTATTTGTTTAGTTTTTAAATAGTTAAGATCACATATCTTTCTGTTTGACTGATTCAAATACTTTGTTGAGACGAATCATTGTGTATTAAAATCTCACTTTTCAGCATTACAACAAAGTTTTATGAATATCGGGAATTAAATCCTAAGAAAAGTTTGAGGATCATGTAGAAAACCATCTGAAGCATTGTCATGAAGCTCCGAAAAAATTGGCTTATGAAGTTATGCAGCGACGTGTCACTGTGAGGTCTGTGTAACCCAGATTAAATCCAAGATAGTCTAAGTTTTAAAGCACAGTATAGTCAGTACTTTTTACTGTGCATTTTTCACTATTTACTTTATCTGTTCTACCTTAGATTTTTAAGAAACATTGTTTTCCTCCTAGGGTATTGGTGGATCTGTGATAGAATGGAAACATTTTATTCAACTTACCTATTTACTTCATTTGTATCAGTAAGTTGTCCAAGTTCACTACATGTTATTTTCAAAGATGGTTCATCATAAAGAATTGTTGATTTCCCATTATCTCTTTTAACTTTACCTTTATTGCATTCTGAGATAATAGGTGATGATTGTTCTTGGCTAATCTTGTGTTGTTGGTCATTTAAAAGTTTCAATTGCTGATAAACATGTTTGTGCTGTTTATTCATTTTGTCAGAAATATACATCTGATTTAGTTGATTACATTGAATATCATCGATTTTTTCATTTGATCTATGTGGTTCTGATTTAATCAAATTGTCTGGACGCAAATCTTTATTAATATTACAGTTATGAGCATCATTCTTGGTATTATTCAAAGCAACAGTGTTTGTTTTATTATCATTATTAGTAATATTAGTATTATTACGTATTTTAACATTCATCGTCTCACTTTTACTAACCTCATCACCAGCTGAATTAATAAAGATTTTATTCGGACGTTTTGAAACCATTGGATTTAAAGAACCTGGTGTAGAATGAAGTCTAGGAGCATTATCATGTAAATGTTTTGTTGATTGAGAAATTTTATTTGATGAATTTACGTCATGATAAAATTTAAGTGGACTCTGTGAATCAAAGTCGTTGTTTTGCGCAATAACTGAAGTAACTTCTTTGCCTGATTGACTGGTCGACTTTCCAACTGTTTTAAGTCTCTGGGTCCGTTGTATTGTACTGAAAGATGGTTGTGAACCAATCATCTCTGTAGAATTATTTATTTTAGACCTGTCCGTTAATTTTGAAATGCTTGGAATACGAGAAGATTTCGATAATGGTATTCCTTGATTTTGTTTTTGGTGATAGTTTGAATCAAATATTGATTCTTTATCACACGGTATTTTACATGTAGATACCCATTCATTAGTTCCTAAGGATGGAATAGGATTATAGGCATTTGGATCAGAAGGCGATGTACAAGCGCTATCTTTGGAATAAGATGAGGAAGATATTCCACTATCGCAAAATGTCCTATCATCTCCAGCGGATAAGCTAGATGCTGCAGAGTTAGAATTAGGTAAATTATATTTTTGTTTACTCTTCTGTTTATGTGTGATTTGAGAATAAACACTTTGTAACTGAGTGAATTCATCTAAATCATTGTCAATATAATTGTCAAGAGTTAAACTTTGTTTATTGGAACTGAGTGCGTCTGTAGGATCTGTCAAGTCACACAATCTCGCAACACTACTATTCGTTAAGACATTCATTGGGATTGGATTAGTTGACCATGTGGGTGTATTGCTAAATGATGTAGCAAGAAAGGAGGCGATGTTTAAATGGTCGGTTCTCTGTGAAATAATACTTGGAGAAATTACATTTTGGAACTCATTTTTCTTGGATAAAGTTTGAGTATTATTACCGTCTTTTATCAATTTATTAGCTTCATGTGGTTTTATTTGTGAACTGCTTAGTTGTGGTTCATGATACTTTTGAAATTCAGCATTCTTAGTGCTTTTTTCTTCATCTTGTGGTGATTTTCTTGATGGTGTTGAAGCAGATCGTGACTGAGATACTTTGGTTGTTTCATCTGATATTGACTGACTCTTTTCTTTATATTTATTCACTACCGTTCCATATTTATATGATTCACGTACATTTCCCACTGCATTATAATTCAGAAAATGTGTTTCTTTAGCAGATAACAATTTCACAGGGCTACGTTCTCTGATACTTTCCTTACTCGAAGTTCTTGACGTACTTTTCTTTAGATGAGATGATTGAAAATATGGAAGATTAGTTTTGGATTTCTCATTTTTAGAAGTATTATTACTATTATAAGTAATATTCGGAGACACCAAACTTGTTGGAACAGTAGCATTTTTATTGTTGTTATCAAAGGTTCCACGTCTTTTCTTGAAATAAGACTTACTGTTAAAATCCTCTTTTCTACTAATATCTGGGCTTAGAATTGTTGGTCGATGTGAAGAATCTGGTTGGTTAATATTTGATGCTAGGCTTTTCTGGTCATGTAACATAGGATTTGACTGGTATAACCCAAGTGATTGAGGTCGAATGCCGAATTTTTCATTTGGGACCCAGGAATGACCTATTGGTGAGCGTTTACCAGTTTCCATTTTGAGCATTTGAATTTTATTGAAGTGATTATTAGGAAATTCTGAAGGAATCCTGTTATGATTATGATTTTTCATGGTCAAAGTACTAGTGTTTGCAATTTCATGCGAACTAACTGAGTTACTTATTCCACATAGCATATTGTAATTTGAATATAAGGAATTTCGATTGTGTGAAACTATAGTATTTGGCTTATTCGATAACTAAGATCAAGATCAGGTGCATTCGATGATCTGGAACTCAATGAACTTTATTCGACGATATATATTTGAGCTAAAATGACTGTTGCATAAATTCCACTGTATTTAATTATCCAAGCAACTTGTAAATAAAGAATATTTCGATGAGTTAACTGATGAAAATGATGTTACTCAGTAAAGTTCACACCAATTTAGTTCTCACAGTGGGATTCAGGATATTTTGCTGAAATATAAGAAAATATGTTTATATAATAATTATTATTTATCTGAAGGCTGAAACAAAATTCACTGTAAATATTTGGCAGATTCTGAGCTCGCGTTGACAAACATTCAGCTGAATGGAATCTGGAAGAGACTGATAGTTAGATGTAAAGTTCTTTATCTGATAATTATCCGATAATGAACTTTATCTTACAGTATTTAAAGTAACATTTAGTTGTAATTGATTTTGACAAGATTACGTTAATCATATTTTTTAATAAGGACATAGGTAAATTTGTCAAAATATTTTCTCTCAAACGACATTGATTATAGTCAACTACAGGATTCATTGAAACCGATAATACATTTGGTTTTAGCTCTGTTTGATAAAACACCCTAAAACTACTACGTTGCGTTGTATTCAGAAGGTCATTTAAAGTTGTGGTGCCGAAACAGAAACCAATCATGTACACCTTATTCATTATATTACTATGTTGTAGTATGGCCCGACCATATTTTCCGTATGTTTCATCAGGTTCCAGGGTCAGTTAACAATATATGACTTGAAAAATATATAGGGGTAAATAAACTTTCAAATCTGATATTTTGAGATGGTAGCGCTCATCGAAATTCAGTCTCCTTTCGTACGAATGCACACAGTTCGAATTACTTTCAAAGTGGTGTCATCTGATGTGATATATCACTGGGGAAAAATAGTTAACATGCTGTCTCTGTTCCTTGCCGTCTTTAAGCTAATATCAATTTGTAATGAAATTTTTTTGAAAATTAATAAAGACATGAGAATTAATTGGTTCAAACAAGGATTTTCAGAAGTAGACTGTTCATATTATCACTATCATGGGTTGTGGAGTGCTCCTCGTGTTTCTGTGGTTATATATATTATTATTTTGTGATACAAAATTATTTATGATGTATGAAATGGGAGTATTCTGAAAAGTTTATATTAAGAACTAATATATTAACTGACAAGAATAGTAGTTTATCTAAAATTTTCACTTATGATGCATTATATCTTCAAATATTAACTTTTGTCGTTTATGATCAATGAAGTTCATGGAGCAAATCTGTTGACTTATTGTTAAAGTTGAGAGTTGTGTAACAATCTTCATATTGGTTCATACCTGGGTGTTAGCTTAGCAAATCGTAAACATAGGAAATCTAACGAAATCGAAAACTCCTTATCCAGCATATCAATATAAATTGTTGCTATTGAACATAGTTTATGTAAAGTGGGTAAAAATGAACTTCAGTAACTACTGCGTAGTTAGTACCATAAATTAAGTGAATGATAATATTCTAAAAGCTTACCTTAAGTTAATTAAGACTTTAATCTTAATATTGAGTGTTTCAATTCAATACAAATAGGATAAGATTTAATGTCAAAATACATTTAAGAGCATAATGACAAGCTCAGTTGAAAACTAATTTATTTAAAACATAACCATCAATGAAAGAATACAGTCATATTTTTTCTTCTACATTTTGTTACTCTTCTAACTAAAATATTTTACGATTTTCGTCAATCTCTCATTTGTTTTCTTACGGTACAACTAATAAACTCAAGTTCATTTCGAAGGACATATACATATCTAAGAGATGGTTACTATATCACAATACTACAAGAGTTCGTAATTTTCTTCAATGTTTCATTTTTCATTTTTAGATAAAGAGGTACACTCTATTATGTTCATTTTAGAAATTTATGTGATATTTTGTTGTTGTTGAAATAACTAAAAGAAAAATATGATTCCTTATTCATGAATGTAATTATTCTTTACATTGTTTACTAAAAAGTTAATATTCTACCGTCTTGATACATTGTATCGATAAACTAATAAAAGATCGAATATAAAATATTGTAGACTAAATATTGTTGTATTTACTTCATTCAATAGTTATGGCTTACTGACATTTTAATAAATATTCTTCCTTTTATATAGTTGAGATCATGAGTCAATTAAAGCTAGACCACCATCGAAAACCTGAAAGAACTGGACGGCCGTTTCGTCCTATTATGGGACTCCTCAGAAGTGCGCATCCACGATCCCACCTTGCGAGATTCGAACCCATGACCTATCAGTCTCGCACGCGAGCACTTAGCCACTAGACCACTCAGCTGGCCGGCATCCAACAGTGGTAATATATAACTTCAACCAATCCACGAAATTGAGCAACCATTCACCAATGTCTTCAATGAGTTCATATCTCCCAACAGTAACAAAATATGAATTTATAATTGAAATCGAAAGTGGATTTTGTGGATATTATAATAATTTTAATGGTTGAGATCATCAGTCAATTGAAGCGCACGAGACTGATAGTTCCTGGGTTCGAAGCTCTCAAGGCGGGATCGTGGGTGTGCACTGCTGAGGAGTCCTATAATGGGATGAAACAGCCGTTCAGTGTTTCCAGGTTTTCCATGGTGGTCTAGCTTCAATTGACTCATGATCTCAACTATTAAAATTGCTGTTGAAATATTTAATTATTATAATTTTTCCGTTATTTTCTTCCTTGTTCCGTAAAAATGTAGTTTGTTTATTGACATAGAAATGCAAATATAAATAAAAACCATTTTGTTTTTAACACAAAAATTCGAAATAATTTTTGTTCACCTTTTCATGTCCTGATGTTTTACATCTGTGAATATAATAATGTTATATGATTATTTTAATGTTGATTTTTATTAATTTAAAGTCGTTGATTTAAAAAATTTCTACTGTTGATGGAGCTTTTCATAGATGATCGTGTATTTGAATTAAATCTAAGGTATTCTAGATTGACGAGGAGTACAGTAACTTTTGCAAGTACTCAACATGATTTTTAAAGCCCTTTGTTAACATTACATCACATATAAATAATTATATAATAATATATTAAGATATACCTCTTGGTAATCATTACAAATAGATTATTTGAGGGGATTTTACTAGACTACCGTATTATTTTCCTAATTATATTACTTAAAGTAAATCTGCATATGAACATTTTGATATTAAGTAAAACCAGATGAGTTAACTAGGCAACCTATTTATCTGCGAACATTTAAGTGAATATGTTGAAATAGATAAATGAAATTTATATTTACTAACGAAATACGGGTACAATAAAAAGCGAATTATTGGTTTATGCTTGTATTCCATTCATGGTTCATTCTTTGACCATATTTATTATATCTATTCAAACAGCCTTATAGCATGTGCGTAAATTTCCATTTTCTTGTCGCCAGATGGTTAAAATAGCACTAATAATAGATTATTTTTAGAACGGTAATTAAGAATATTTATATCACCACTTTTTATATTATCCTAACGGTAATAAGTAATAGCCAGAGAGTACTTTAAATATTGTTTCATATTATTGTCAAGTTATTCAGAATCAGACAACCTCAATGTTGTGAGAAAATAAAATAAATATAATTAGTTTAGTATTTAGATCCTTATCATGTCAACTTATTTCCTAAACAATTATTGATACAATTAGTATCTTTTGTTTGAATCTTCCCATCGATGTGTTAGGATTGCAACTAGTCAGTCTCTAATTGGCATATGTGCGCACTGTGCGTATTGCCTCGATATACCTTAATTCACAAGCATGGTAAGCTTAGATACTGACCAGTTGCAGTCCTAACATATCGATGGGAAGATTCAAACAAACAATACTAATTGAATTTAAACTTCACCCCATCGCATAAGCAAGTGGCTATCAGGACTCAGTGGCCGAGTGGATAACGCCAAGGCGTTTGAAGCGAGGGTACTGGGTTCGAGTCCCAGAGTGAACATCAACTCTGAGATGCGGGTACATCCATCTGACGAGTCCGAAATAGGACGAAACGCGTGTCCTGGGTTCCACTGCTAGCCACTGTTCATCTCTGCTTACCAATTATTGATGCAGTTTTAATGGTAGCCATTTTCAAAAATCTATATATCGTATATTCAAATTTAACTTGATTTTTAACACAGTTTCATGATCTGTAAGTGTTCCCAATAGGACGTTTGAACCTTCAATAATAAATGAATAACCATCAAAAAAAACAAAGTCACTGTATCATATAAATTGGTAATTTATTGCTCCAGTTACTAAGCGTGGGCGATATAAGTACAGGAAAATCTAATGGAAAATTCCTAAGTTGGTAGCGCTCATCCAAATTTAATTTCCTTACGTACAAATACACACAGTCTGAAAAAAACCCTTGTGATATTAATTAGCATATGCTCACTAGTGACTGACTTCAAGGGGTATTTCCTGGAGTTCTAGTGAGAAACAGTGACCGATGGAATTCAACCAGGTCTGTTGTGAGATATTAACTCACTGAAGACAATGGGGGATTTGTCACTCAATTTCGTGGATTGGTTGAAGTTAGACATTATCACTTTTGGATGTCAGCTCAGTGGTCTATCTGTTAAGCGCTCGTGCGAGAGACTGATGGGTCCTGGGTTAGTATCTCTCAAGACGGAATCGTGGATGTGTACTGCTGAGGAGTGTAACAACAGGACGAAACGGTTGGCTAGTACTTCCAGGTTTTCCATGGTGGTCTAGCTTCGATCGACTCATGATCTCAACTATTAAAATTCCTTAGCATACAAGTAATAAGCATCAAGGGTTCCACCATAGTCTTGAAGTAGTATGTGATTACAAACGACTTCAAACCATAAACGAAATTTTAATTTTAAGGTATATGCCTACTTTTTTATTATTAATCAGTCAATTTGCTTAACACA